TGCGGCCCTGGGTTCAATCCTCAGCCCCACCGAAGGAAAGAAAAGGCAGAAAAGGCCAAAGAGCAGGTGGTTCTCTTGGACTTCACAGGTCACACCCATAATCTCTGTCACCACTGACTTTGTGGTTACTGTGTCAAGCGACCGCAGTGATGTCAACAAATAGCCATGGCCGTGTGCCAATAAAACTTTATTGATAAAAAGAAGTTGAGGGCCAAGTGTCCTCCAGAAGCCACAGTTTAAAGGTTGCAGAAAATACAAGCGGAACATCAGGAGCCAGGGCCAGCCCGGTCAGATGACACACGCACAGGCCAGAAGCTGGCCACCGAGGCTGACAGGTCGCAGCTGTGCTCCGGAGCAGCTGTGTTGACCCTGGGGCAACTGGCACTGCCAGGCCTGGTCCCCACAGCAATGGTGAGGACAGGGTTCTAAACCCCGAGCAGGGGCGTGAGCCAGGCTCTGTGCTGAGCTGCTGACCTTTCTGTGCCTGTCCCCCACCCCCGCCCCCAGCCCCGAGCTGTCCTCTGCGGACTGAGCTTCCAATACCAGGCCTCGCCCCAGCCTCAGGGCTCGGAGAAGATCTCAGAAAAACTCCTGCCTTGACTCACAGGCAAAGTTCACATGTTGATCCGTCCCATGCAGCCCCCACACTCAGGACCACAGCCAACACACAGTAGGGTCTCAGGATTCAACGGAAGAAAGGCCCCCACTGCCAGCACACCTGGAATGCAGCTTCCGAAGCAAGTTCCCAATCTACACAGGGTCTGAGCCCTGTCACCTCTGCAGCCTCCCTTCCCCCTCCCCACTGTCCCCTCCCCCAAAGGACCAGCCCTGTCAGCATCTTTTCTGGCTTTTGTCCCTGCCAATCACACTGCAACCACAGGGCCTTTGCACTTGTTTCTGCCTGGCCGGCTCTTCCCCAGGACAGACACCAGGCCCCTCCCTCAAACAGCCACACACAGTAACAAGGTGGTGCTATTCACAAGGAACAGGGTGAGCCAGGGAAGGTGCCAAGGAAGACAAGGAGGACCAGTACCCGCTGTCCAAGTGGGGAAACTGAGTCAGTGAAGTGGAGGAGCCAGACCAGCACTTCTCAGGTCTCCCACTTTGCCAAGAGAACCCAACACTGGCTGTGATCCTGACAGCTCCCAGTATTTACACAGAGCAGCACACAGCCCCCAGCTGGCCAGAGAAAGTCTCGATTCGCTGCCACCAAGAAAACACCTTGGGCAGAACAACACTGCCCGTCTACACTGCGCCTCCCTCACCCCTCACGCTGCCCACCGGGGTCCAAGCCTGCAGCCTCAGCCCAGGCTGCCCCTCCCCACTGCACCACAGCCTCATCGCTGGGCTCTGGTGTCCTCGGTCCAGTGTCCCCAAGCCCACTGACCCCGCCCCACAGCAGCCAATGAACCTCAGAAGGGCAGAGAGGAAGCCAGCGAGGACCTGAGCTCCGTCACAGCACCAGCACGTGCACAGCCCAGAGACCCCAGCAGATGGCAGCGCTCTGGGCCTGGGACCAGCTCGGCCACCTCGGCCACCGGGCCCTGCACGCAGAGCCTCGCCAAGCCAGAGATGTGGCTGCCACGGGTCATCAGCTGCGACACTCAGAGCCAGGACAGGTGCTGGAGCCCGCTGTGCCCTGGGCACCCCCAGTCCTGGGTCAGGAGCCCCCCTGAGTGAGCTCGGGTTAACACCTGGAGCCGGGCAGACGCTCCATCACCCTCAGTAATAAAACACAGAGAATCCATTTGGGTGCCATTGATTTTTCTAAGTAACTATTTTGGGGCTGGAATGCGAGGATCGGTATCGATCAGGCCCGAGGAAGGACGAGGCACACAGCACCCCGGCGGCTGCGGAACCAGGCCATTTGGCAGGGAAGATGTTGGGTGGTGCGAGGTGGGGGGACACAAGGTGACAGCCGGCTCCCTGCCCGGCTTGGTGCCCCCGGCTGGGACAGGGGCATGGATCTGCCATCATGGTCGTCTGGACCCAGAGCATGCAGCTTCTTTATTCCGGATCACGATTAAGGGCTTGGTGTGCATTAGTATGATCGTAATAAATGGAAGCAAAGGCTGGCGGCTCCTGAGAGCTTGCAGCTGCCGGGCGCCGTGCACAGAAGCTGGTGAGGGTTCAGGCTCCGTCTCCCTGGGGCTCGTTCTGGTCACCGAGGGCCGGGTAAGAAAGGATCCACCTCCTGGAAGAAGTCTCCCTGCCCACCCTCCGTGCCCCTCTTCTACCCTGGGCAGTCACCCCGGTGGCAGCCCTGCCCCCGTGTGTGCACAGTACCCGCCCACAGGAGAGTTTCAGGGCCCACTTTACAGGCAGGAGAACTGAGTCCAGAGTGGTCGGGGGGCAATTTCCTAAGAGAAGCTGGAACCTCGATTACGATACTGAGTCCCCCAGTTGCTGGCAGCTATCAAGGAACCTCTGCAGGCCCGATGTCCCCACAAGCCCTTCAGGTCAGTGGGCCAGGGTCAGGACGAGGAAGTCTCCCCCAAACAGGTTTTCCACACACGGCACAAATCTCTGCTCCACTTGAAAAGTACGCCTTCATCTGTGGAATCCAAATAAGTCGCAAAATCAAATAAATCAAACCCAAAATTCAGTGTCCCAACAGCCAGGCTGGTGGCGGTGGTGCACGCCTGTCATCCCAGCACTCAGGGAGGCTGAGACAGGAGGATCCCAAGTGCAAGCCTAGCCTGGGCCATTTAGCAATTTAACTGAGACCTGTTCTCAAAATAACAAAGAGCTGAGATGTAGCTCAGTGTGAAGGCCTTGCCCTCAAGCCCCAGGGCCACCAAAAAGAAAAAGAAAAAATATGGGCCAGAGTGAGAGATGAGGCGGAAACAGAGACAAGGACACACTGCCCCTTAACACCTCGCTGTCTCAGGAACCACCTCGTCCCTCGAGGGCACAGGAAAGGACTCCTCCCCACCTGCTGGTACAGAGGCCTCCAGGCAGATTCCTGCCATGCTGGCCTTTGTCACCGTGGTGGACGGGGCAGGGCCAGGCCCCTCGCACCCACAGAGCCACCTGCCCTCACCATTGGGAACTGGACTGGGTTAGGTGGGGTGGCCCAAGGCACACAGCCAGAGGACACCCCAGCCTGAGCCCCGGTTAGGCAGGTCATCACCAGCTGTCTGGCAATTTCCTCCTATTTCTGGGTGACACCTGCGTGGTTCATCCACACTCTCTTGAACCTTGGGCTCCCCAAGACCCCGGACCCGGGGTGAGAAGGTCCAGCACCAGGAGCTGGCCAGACAGCCCCCACCTGCCATCAGGCTATGATGTCGCCATGGTGTCGCCCTGGCTAGAAGGCCGCATCTCCCCTTCCCATCCGTGAGGGGCTCCTCTCCGGATGTCCTCACTGTCCACGCAGGGGAGGCCACTCTCAGACCCCTCTGTCCCAGTGAAAGGAGCCACCGGGCCGCACCACACGGGGGTGGCGTCCCGGAGACCACGCTCCCCTCCCGTTCCCTGACTTCCAGCCGGCCAGGGGGGCTCTTTGTGTCTCCTGGAGCCGGCGGGCGAGCCCAGGCCCGGGCTCACGCCTCCTTGCGCTCGCATCCGGCAGGAGGCCGGGCGGGGAGTGATTTACTCTGGGAACCTCCACTGGGCCACCATTAAATCACAGGGCGGCGACAGCATTTGCATACCGGCGGCCCCCTCTCCGGGGAGCAGCAGCACCCGGCGAGGCCCCTCCCAGATCGCGGCTGCCGGGAGAAGGGAGCTGCGCGCCAGGCAGGGCTGGGGGCCGCTGCTCCGAGACGGCGCCCCCGCCTGCGAGCTCGGGACGCGCTCAGCCCGCCGAGCCGAGCCGCTGACCCCGGGCGCCAAGGGCAGGTCCGGTCTCCCTGCGAGCTGGGAACCGCGGCGCTCGCTGCAAAACCTCACGGGCACGAGGGGGGCTGGGGCGACCGCCGGCCCCGTCACCGCCTGAGCGATTCGTGCGCTCTCGCCAAGTTCGCTTCCAGATTCTCTGCGCTGGCGAGGCCGGGAGGGGTCCACCCACCGCACGGCGCCGCGCACGCTGCCCACGCAGGAAGGGGGCAAAGACGGCAGCGCCTGGGTGCGGCGGGCGCGCACACCCCCGCCCCTGAAGTCGCGGTCCCTGCCCAGAGCCCTGGGACCGAAGGAGGGGCACCCGCGGTTACCCAGCAAATCCCCCCAGTGCCGAAGGACGCCTCGCGCGGAGCCCCATCTCTCCTCCCAAGTGTAGGCAGCCAAGCCTCCAGCAGTCTCGGGCTGCTTCGGAGCGGTGCTATATATAGTTATCAAACCGCCGCGTCTCCGTGCTCCCGCGGCGGCGGCGGGGACTGGCGCGACACACACACAGCGGCCGCGCAGCCCCGCACCTCCACCGCGGGGCCGGGGCACCGATCCAGCCGAGCCCCGGCAGGTGGCCGTCTTCTTCCCTCTGCAGACCAGGCCCCCAGAGCCACCTGCCACTGCCCACGGGCTGGGGACAGAAGGGAACATTGGCCAAGTTTGGCACAAAGCCGCCGGCAGGCAAGCTTCTCCCGGAGAGCTGGAGCGGCCTCTCAGCGCCGCCCAGCCATCGCCGAGCCCGGGAACCAGCAAAGCAGCAACAATCCGCAAGTCGGAGGGGCCGCGCGTCTTCTCGAGGGGAAACCGGTCCGTGAGCTTCGGCTCGAGAAAGCGGCCCCAGCCCGAGCAGCCTGGCGCGAAACAGCTCCCAGCCTGCTCCCTCGCCCGGAGGCTGGGGAGTCTCCAAGCCCTCCGAGCCACCCTCTGGGCCCGGCCACGGCCAGGCGCTGGCGGGCACCTAGCGCACACGGCCGGGGTCCTCCCGGGGTGGGGCGTCTCCAGGGACGACGCGGTCTCCTCTCCCGGGGAGCCGACACACAGATGCGCGAGCCGCAGTCTTGGGAGCCCGGCAAGCTGCGAAGTAAAAGTTTGTGTTTCTCGGCCGCATCCTGCGCCTCCGGGTGGTCTGTTGGTTAGGCACGCGGAGAAAGGTTTGCGCAAGCCGAAACTACCTGCTCCCCAAATGCTGGATCCCCGTTTTGCAAGATCTGGAGCGCCGAGCTCGCCAATGCACATGAGCGCTGCTCGTGACGACTCCGGGTTCCTCGCGGCGCCAAGATGTGCGCCCGGCTCCTGGTGGGGGAAGGGGCGGCTCCGCCAGCGCTGGGGCTGAGCTGCCCTGGAACCAACAGGAGCCGCCCCAAGGTTCCCCAACTCCCGCAGCTGAGGCGGAAAATACCTGACTGTGCGGGCCCTGCAAGCCAGGCGCTGGGGACGGCGGCAGGCAGCCGGTGGAGAGCCCACTCCCCAGCCCCGGGCGATGGCTCTGGACCCCGCGTTATACGCGGCCCCCGCGCGCCCCAGCTGCCTGGCCATTCTGCCCTGTCTCGCCCGTCTTAGGGTCCCCGTGCCCAGCTGCCCCATTTCCAGGAGGCAAGCAAAGGGTTTGAGAAGGGTCCACTTGGGGAGGGGTCCCTTTGCGGATGGCAGCAACACAGGGGCGCGAGGAGGGGCAGCGCTGCTGGAGCAACCCCAGTCCCCGCAGGTGTCCTGAGCTCGCACCCCAGGACCGCAACCTGAGGCGGCGGCCGCCCCAGCAGGGCGAGGAGGGGACGAGGCTCCGGGGCGCCCCCGCCGCCCACCCCCGAGGCCACACGCACCTCCCCGCCTGCTGCCCCCGCGCGCCCAGGAAGGATCCGCGGGGAATCTGGGGATGGGGTGAGGGAGGGACCGCGCCATTGGTCTCCAGCGTCCCGGGGTCGCCCCAGCTCCGCCTAAGTCCCCGAGATGGAAGCCGCCCAGGACTCCAGGAGGAGGCGGCCGCCCGGCCGCGGAGCCAACTTTGCGCGCGGTGGCGGCGGGGTCAGGGTCGGGGACGGGGACGGGGACGGGGTCGGGATCGGGGTCAGGGACGGGGACGGGGACGGGGATGGGGACAGGGTCTGGGTCCGGGACGCGTTACCTGAGCATCGCAGTGCAGTCAGAGCCAACAGGAGCCGGAGCGGCGGCGCCCGGCCCGGGGCCCGCATGGTCCTCGAGAGCCCAGGCGGCTACGGCCGTGCGCCGGGCATGGCTCGCTCCCCGCAGCTCCAGACGCAGCGCCGGGGCCGGCGGCGCCTCCTCGGCGGCGCCTCTGCGCGCTCCGGCTCGGCGTGCGCGGCCGGGAGTGGGGCGGCCGGGCCGGCTCAGCGCCGCGCGCCCTCGCCCGCTGCCCCGCGCTCCGCCCGCGCCGCGCCGCCCCCGCGCCCTCCGCCGCGGCCCCCGCGCCCCGGCGCCCGGCCCATCCCGGTCCCGGCGCGCGCCGTGCGGCCGCTCCTCGAGCGGAGCGGAGCGGAGACTGAGCGCGGGGCGCCGGGCGCGGGGCGGGGACGGAGGCAAGGAGGAGGGGCGCGGGGGCGGCGCGCGGGACGAGCCACTCGGCTGCGAGGAGGCGCCCGGCCGGGGGCGCGCGGGGCGCGGGCTGCGAGACGGGGTCCCGAGGAGGTCGGGCACGCGAGGGGGTGGTGTCCCCAAGGTCGAGGGGTGAGGGCCCAGGACATGGTGCCCAGCGCGGGTGGGCGAGGTCTGGAGAGAAGGCGTCTGCCAGGGACGTGGGGCGCAGAGCGCGGTCCCGTGACACAGCTGGCACTGCTCGGGGAGGGGGCGCCCCCATGACCCGGGCTCCAAGCCAAGGGAATCCAAGCCCCAGAGCCCGGCTGGGTGCGGCCAGGAGGCTGAGGCAAGAAAGGGCATCTTGGAAATGTTTACAGGGTGCGAGGCGGGGAGCCTCAGGGACCCCCCGCGCAGAACGCACCTTCCGGTTCCCGCAGGCCCTGGAGGCCGAGGCCCCGAGTTCTTTCTCCTGGGATCCAGCCCGAGGTCCACGGACGAGATCCTGGCCCGAATCAGTGGGGCGCGGAGAGAGTCAGAGACCCTTGGCCTCCCGAGCTTGTGCCCCGTGGTGGCCACAGATGAGGGACCAGGCCTGAACGCCGGTGCGCCCACAGCGGCCTGAGGCTCCCCTCACCCCAGCCTCTCAACTGTGCCCCGGTCCCCCACGAAAAAGTGGGTCAGACTTCAAAACAGACAGCCCGGGAACTGCGCACCAGGCTAGGAGGACTCCAGAGTCCTGCCCGCTGCTCCACCTGCTGTCTTGCCTCAGTTTCCCCACCTGAGAAATGGAAGCCTCTGTGCAGCCACCCACAAAGCCCCAAAGCCCCTGGCCTAAGACACACGAGTCAATCTGGAGTTGTCCACGGGGCACACTGTCCCCCAGGGGCACACTGGCTCCTCCCTGGGCCAGGGGCTCACCGGGAGGCGTGACCACCCTGGCTTCAGGGCAGCCACCACCAGGTCGGCTTCTCAGTGCAGCCCCGAGGCTCAGCCCTGCCAGGGAGAGAGGGACAGAGCGCCAAGCAGGTGGTGTCGCTCACCCAGGTTGGTTCCAGGACCGCGCGGGCCTTCCTGTAGCCTCTCTGGGGTCCCTGGCAGGGTCCTCGGTGACTGGACAATGGGGCCTCCCAGCGGCTCTGTGACCGCGGCCCTGTCTCTCCTGGGATCCAGGCCTGGCCCCCGGCTGCCCAGCTCCCCACGGTCAGTGTTTGCGGATTCCAAGGCGGCCGGTGTGGGGAAAGCCGGGCAGGCGTGAGGCCAGCGCTCTGCACCGGGCCACAGGGCAGCCCTTCTGACGGGGGCCAGGTCCGCCCTGACCTGGGAGGGGACCGTGACATTCCTGAGCCCACAGCCCTGGACATGGGTGCCAGGGGTGTCCCAGGCCCCGGCGGCCTCAGCCCTCCTTCCCCGCTGGCTGGGCCGGAGCGGTGACACTGGAGAGGCGGCAGAGGGCCACTCTTTCCCGCGCCGTGTGGCTCTCGGTGCCCTCTCCGGGCTCCAGGGCCCTGCGCCCCGCTGGGGTCCTCTGAGTTTGCTCTGGGGATCCGGGAAGGGGGGTGCAGCAGCTGCCCCTAGAAACCCCGCCCCGAAAGCCCAGACTGTCACCCAACCTGTGCAAAGCCCGAGATCTGCCCGCCCCCCAACCTGGTGTGCGGCTGGGGAAACCGAGGCCGGGCGTGCTTCCGCTCTCCGGGTTCTGTAAGTGGGGGAGGGGCAACAGCGCGGCCACTGCTTGTACTGAAGAGCCACATTGCCATCAAGTGGCCACGAGCGGTATTGCAGGCGGGCCGCGCCGCCTTGCCGAGGCCTCGGTGGGCCTGCAGCTGTGCACCGGGGACCCGGCCACTACCTCACGGCGACCTTAAGGAACCCCTCAGCCTTTGCATTGCCAGCATTGGGCGACAGCAGGCAGCTGTCCGCGTCTCGGCCATCGGATGCCAGGTTCTTTGCAAAAACCGGGACTTTGTTTTCCAATGCAAACCTGATGCTCCGCGCGGTGTCGCCTCCTGGAGCCCAGCGCTGACTCAGAGCCGATGGGGGAGGGGAGCCCCGGCACAAGAAGGCCGCGGTGGCCCGCGCTGCCCCGGGAGGCTGAGGCGGAAGGCTCTCGGAGAATTCGAGGCCATGGGATCCACAGTGAGTTGGAGGCCAGGCCAAACTATAAAGCCAGACCCTGTCGCCAAAAGAAAACCACAGTGTGGAGACGAGATGGGCTCAGCGTGGAGACCTTACCTTGCAGGAACCAGACCCGGGGTGCGATCCCCAGCAGCCCTGAAAAAAGGACAAAAGAAACAGTGCAATCGCTGGATTTGCAGACTTATTGTGGCTCGTTCTCAAAATTTTTCTCAGAACTGGACTGAACCTCAGGCCCTCACACTCGCTGCATCCCCGGCCCTTTGTATTTGTTTTATTTCTTTTTTTTAAATTTTGAGACGAGTTCAGTAAGTCGCCCTGATGCCTAGGCTGGGTGTGAACTTGAGATCCTCCTACCTCAGCCTCTTTTAGCACCCCTTTTAGCACAGAGAGCAGAGCCGCAGGGCTCAGAAGTGCTGGGGTCAGAACCCCGGACACTGCACTGCGGCCACCGAGGGCTTCTCGTCCAGGCATGCCTAATCCCAGCCGCTCAGGAGGCTGAGGCAGTAGGATGACAAGGTTTGAAGCCAACCTAGGGCAATCAGGGCAGTTTAGGGCAACTTTTGCCACTGTTTCAAAATCCCATTAAAAGGCCTGGCGGGTAGCTCTGCCGAGCATTTGCAATGCCCTACATTCCATCTCCAGGACTGAAAAACAAAACCAAAAAAGGATTTAGGGGCTCACACAATCCCAGCACAGGGCTACAGGCTTGGCAGGCGGGTCTCTCAGCAGGAAAGAGATATCATTGGCCAAGGTGAGATCACGTGTCTGTCCCCGGACCAATCACCACGCGCATGGGGCTGTCATATGCTAATTAGCGGGAAGCCCTTTGGGCCCCAGGTGCCGGGAGAGGCGGTCACTCGAGCGCTGTCCCCTCTGCTACAGGCCCGCAGTGCCAGCGTGTCCTGCGGCCTGCCCAGGACAGCCAGTCTGGGCGGGGTGTGCTGTCCCCATTTGACTGGTGAGGGCACTAGTGGGCCCCACGTCCCCGGAGGGTCTGCTTAGGTCTGAACCCTCCATGTCCCCAAAGAACCCCCTCGTTGGCCTCCCGGACACTAGACCCTTGAGCCAGGGCCTTCGCACTGAGCTGCACCCCAGCGCCTTCTTCATTTTTTAATTTGGCAAACGCTCTCCCTAAGTCCCCCAGGCTGGATTTGAACTTGCAACCTTCCTGCCTCAGCCTCCCAGAGCACCGTCATCGCAGGCAGGCGCCACACTGTGTAGTGAAGTGATTCCACAGCGTGCATCCTCCTGGGCCACTCTTTCCCGCGCCGTGTGGCTCTCGGTCCAAGGAGGAGATGGGGTGGGGAGAGCAGCAGGTTAAGGAGGCCACGTGCTCCCCTCGCCTGACACCTTCACCAGGGGTCCCCCAGGGACGTGGCCTCCTCTGGAGCTTCGATGGCCACTAGGACTGGCTGTCTCTGACCAGTGCCTGGGCCAGGGCCCTGCACCCCACAACCTCGCCTCTGTGGCTCTCAGCCCAGAGACACAGCTCGATCCATAACCATGACAGGATGATTGGAAAATTCCCCGGATCCGACCCGCCGGGGCGGGGAATCAAAGCGGTGAGCGGGAATAATTCAGAGAAAAATGGAAATCCAGCAAGAGCGGGCACGCATTTGCATAATGACAAACATCTGACTCTTAATACCATTCCACCTCCGAAGGGAGGCGTTCGCTATGCAAATGCAGCCAGGGCCCGGAAGCTGGGGCGTGAGGAGGGGGGGTCAGGCCCTTCAGGAGTCCCCAGCCCCAGCACCGGTGGCCTGACACCCATTCCCAGCACCCTTCTCCCCTGCCTCTTCTCTGGAGCGAGAAAGCTCGACACCCTTCTGCAGACCCACTTCTGTCCTGTGAGACTCGGTGGAAGAGGTCCTGAGGTCACTCCGGCAGCTCTTTGTCTACAGGAGCAAAGAGCACAGGTGTCTGACCAGATCTATCATTTCTTGCTTTGAGCATAATCTTGATGGCTGGACTTGCAGCAGTCGTCCTGTGAACATGAGGAGGCCAAGAGCCCCATGAAGATTTTTCAGACCCTCCCATCACCACTGAAGGATAACCAGTTCTAGGATTCTTGAAACATAAAAAGAAAGCCTTTTTAGTCACAGTGGTGAGGTATCCTGTTGTCTGAAAGCAAGGATGTTTGTTACTGACAAGGCAGAAAGGTTAAGTGACACAGCCCGGGCAGTGGAATTTACCACCAAAACCTGCAGGTCCCAACTCCCGCTCCACCGTACAGAGAAAAGAGAGAAGCAGTAACTCCTGATAAAGCCAAGCGTGGAAGAGCACCACACTTGTCATCTGAGCAGTCCAGAGGCCAAGGCTGAGGCAGGAGGATCACTATGAGTTCAAGGCCAGCCTGTGTCTCAAAAAACCAGGTAGGTAGATTAGATAGATAGATAGCTAATTTTCAAAAGTGTTTCAAGACAGGGGCTTGCTACACAGTCCAGCGTGTCTTGAGCCCTGTGTATACGGGTCAGGCTGCATCAACAGCAGGCAGGGCTGACCCCACAAAGCCACAGGACAGCAGGAGCACCCTTTACACTGCGCATCCCTGCCGAGGTATCCGGCAGCTTCCTGTGACTGTCACAAAATGCCTGGGGCCTCTGGGTCAGAATGACAGAAGGTTTGTCTTGGCTGTGGGATCTGGGTGCTCTGAAATTGGAGGCTCGAGGGCGGGGGTGGCACAGGTAGACTTCACCGGTCCCCGGAGAGCGCCCTTTGCTGCCCCGGGTCCAGATGGATTCAAAGAGTCTCCCTCGGGGTCACTGAGGTTGGAGGACCCAGCAGTCACACAGTGCCAGGTCCAGTGCCGGAGGTGGACTGGGCTCCGGCGCCTTGGCCTTGTGAGCTGCCCTTCCGCTGGGTGGCACCGGCAGCATCGAGCCCCAGATTTGTGGCCACACCCTGTAAAGATGCCGGCCTGGGCCCAGAGGCTGCGCGCTGAGGCTGAGTGGGGCTCCCGGCTCTCCACATCTGCACCTGCGCGGGGCACTGAGCACAGTGACCAGCACAGAGCACCAGCCAGCCGAGAAGCTTGGACCGACCCAGGTGGGGCTTTAGCTTCGGGGAGGTTGTTTTTGGTTTTGTCTTTGCTTTTGTTTGTGTTTTCGTTTGAGGCAGGATCTCATGATATAAACCCAGGTTGGCTCAAACTCTAGATCCTCCTGCATCAGCCTTCCAGCGCGTGGATCTCAGGCCCGCACCACCAGCCCACTCAGCTCAGATGAGTGCCGACTGCACTTCATCAGCACTGGGACCCAGCACCGCAGGGAACCGGCTCCAGTCCGCCCATCAGCTGTGGGCCGCTGGCACCTCCAGGGCAGGGCCCAGGTGGGGTGCGTACAGTGTGGGGTGGTGGGCACTAGGGAGGGCAAGTGGAGAGTGAGGCGGGGGCCTGGCCATCATCACGAGGGACCGAGGGTGGGCACACTTGGCGCACACCGGTGGTGCCCGTAGACAGACAGGGAGCCAGCAAACCTTTCTACCTTTTATTTTTTATTTCTTTGTAACCAGGAGCCACACTCAGGACCTTGTGCTTGCCAGGCAGGTGCCATGCTGCCGAGCTGAAGCCCCGGCCAGCGATGTTTCTCAGAAGCACAAAGGAGGGCGGCCCGCAGTGGGTGGTGTGGTCATGGTCACCCTGTGCCTCTCACTCCGACACCGAGAGGTCACAGAGGAACCCTCACCGCACAGGCCCCAGCACGGTGTGTAAACTGCGGGACATGCTGTGAAACTTGGTAGAAAATCACCCCAGCAAGGCTGCATCTGTTTAATGACAATGTGTGTCACATTCCGGACGTCCTGAGAGGAGGCCAAAGCCAGGGTTGCTGGGAGAGTTCCTGCTAAAAATTACAGGAGAGAGAGAGATTCCAGTGAGCGAGAGACAGCAGCGATCCCGCTGGGGACAGTGTGAGTCCTCAACACAGCGACCCTCCCCTCTGTGCCCCTCACGCCTGCCACGAAGGCTTTCAAAGGCAAAAGCGGGTTATTTACTTTTTTTCTTTTGAGACAGGGCTCACTATGTAGTCCAAACTGGTCTTAAACCCATGGGGACTCCCCTGCCTCAGCCTCCCGAATGCTGGGATCTGGCCAGTTCGTTGAAATACACACATAGCTGGGCGTGGTGGTGCAGCCAGCACTCCGGAGGCTGAGGCAGGAGGATTGCTGAGAGCTCCCTCCAAGAGAACGGAGGCTGTCCAGGTGACAGCTCCCCGCCCCCGCCGTGGCTGCCACCCCGCCTCCTGGCATCAGACCACCCACAATCTTTCATATCTACCTTTGGGGGAGCCACTGTACCACTCCATGGCAGCTGGCACATTTTCCGTCCCAGTCCCTCCACTGTCCCAGCAGAGCCCACTGTTCTCCATACAAACTCAAGGAACCGAAGCACGGAAAAAGCAGCATCCTTTCCTGCAGCCCAGGAGTCTGCCTAGAGTGTTAACTGCCCAGGCACCTGGGCCGCAGCTTCCCGTGGTCCCACCTCGGAGGAGGCCAGTCACAACCTAAATATTCCTCGGGTCTGCAGACGGAAGGTTAAAAATGGCACCGTCACCTTGATGGAGCGGCCACTGTGGCCCAGAAGCCGTGGACCACGGGAGCAGAGACCCCAGCCGGGAGGAAGGAGTGTGGGGTGAGCTGGACCAGCCCCCCATGCAAGGGACCCTGACATTTTCTGTCTGAGCCTTACCCCAAACTGCAAACACAGAACGTAGCGGCCAGGCAGAGGACCGACCTCCCTGAACCCAATCTGCAGGGGCGGCCAGGAAGCGCACCAGGCTAATGGAACTGTCACAGTGCATTGTGGTCACTTACAATACGCCCTCGCCAGCTCAAACATGAAAGCAATTATGTGACACGGACTTTACAAGTTCCTGCAGTCTTCATCGAGGGGAGGGAGGCACAGCCCAGTGGGCTAATTTAAATAAAAGAGGGAAGCAGTGGCAGGGACCTGTGACCCCAGCACTCAGGAAGCTGAGACAGAAGGACCGCCACGAGTCTGAGTCCAACCTGAGTTACATCGTGAGACCTCCTCTCCTGCCCATGAGACGTTCCAGGGGTCACTGAGATCCATTCACCAGGAAAATGTAAAAATTCCCACCTCTGGGGAGTCCAGTGTGAAGATGCAGAGTGGGATGGGGTGTAAACAGCACCTCTGAGCTCCGCCTTTGCGGGGGGCTGCAGTACCAGGCTGAGCCCCACCGATACTGGCTTAAATTTTCAGGACACGAAGCCTGATTCGACCTGCTGGTAATGATGGGTGGACATCGGTCTGGTTCGCTGGGATGGGATTTTTTTTTTTTTTTTTTTTTTTTTTTTTTTGTCTTTTTGAGACAGGATCTCCCTATGCAGTTCAGGCTGGCCTTGAGCTCACTTTGTAGCCCAGGCTGGTCTCGAACTCCCAACGATCCTCCTGCCTCAGCCTCCCGAGTGCTGGGATTACAGGCATGAGCCACCACACCCCACTCTGGGAAGGGATTTTTTTAAAGTCAGTCGGGACATTCAGAAACTGCCCAGGGAGAGGACCACTGAAAACAGGCCCAAGAGGGACCTGGGCCCGGCAGGACCAGGCTGTGGGGAGTTGAGGGACTGTCCCACCTAGCTCCCCCAGGCTGGCGGCTTCCAGGCGACGTGTCCTGTGTTTGATGTCTTTTCCACTGGCAGGGACTAAACCAGGGGCTTGCAGTCCTGAGTCCTGGAGGTGGACGGTCACCGCATAACCAGGAGACACAAACCAAGTTGTCCCAGTCCACCTTGGGGACAAGCTGAGGGGGACTGAGGGGAGGCAGGACAGCTGCAGGCCGGGCCAGGCCACACCCGGCAGCCCGCACCATCAGATCTTGGCGGTCCCACTGCCCCTGTCTAGCTCCAAAGACCTGGACCACAGCTCTCCCCTGGCAGTGCCCGCCTCTCCTGTCCTCAGGGACTCCAAACAGCCTTTGTGTTGCTCCTCCAGGCCACTCTGCCCCCTTCTTGGGACCTCTGTCCCTCTGTGTGGCCAGCTTTTTGTCACTGATAAAATTCTAAGAACACGTTGACTGAGCAGAGGTTTACCCTGCTCCTGGCTTCACAGGGTGCTGTCCATGGGTGGCCTGCGTGTGCCCAGGTGGGAACAGCAGGGTGGCAGGCACGGTGGAGGAGGGAAGAAGCTAGGGATATGAAGCACCCTTCTGGGTGATACCTGGCTCCCGCCGGCCTCAGCCATGGGCTCACTCAACGGTGGGTTAAGTGAGGGATGAATTCTTGCCCAACTGTGCTGTCAAGGGTCAGGGCCCGGCCGGAGGTGACCCCGGGGCAGGACCACCCCTGGGGTACCCTCCCAGGCTCTCCCTTTCTGCTTCCTGGTTGTCAGGAGGTAAGCTGCTCTTCCCACTGGGTATTCTGCCATGCTGACCACCAGCAAACCAGAATTCCCCAAAACCAGAGCCACTCAGCCTCTCCTCCAAGACGTGTGGGCAAAACACACGCAAATGCCCACTCATACGTGCATTCACGTTCAAAAAACACACAGGAACATTCTCATGTACACACACAAACACCCCGTGCACAGGTGACCCTCCAGCACAGGGCCAGCCTGTGGAAAGGATCCCCACTCCAGGAGCCTGTGACCACCTCAGACCCTGCCCACCCACTGCCAGGGCCAGGGAGGGCACCAGCCACCCTGCTAGACCCACCTCCCAGCGCCCACATGGCTGAGTGCTGCTGTGTGACAGCTGTGTCCTCTGTGAGCAGGCCCTCTGTGCTCGGACCCAAGGCCAAGACCACGTGGGGCAGAGAAAGCCAGGTCCCCAGGGAGGCCCCGCCCAGACCCCTGCTCTGCAAACACCCTTGGAATCCGATGGGGTGCCCGTCACAGCCACCAGCTGCACCCCAGATCTGTGGGTGACTCCCCTGAAGGCTGGTGCCAGTATCAGGGGCACAAGGGGCCCTGGGCCAGACGGTAGGCTGGGCATTCGCAGAGCGGAAGGAGGGGGTGAGGGGACTGGCTGGGGCAGTGGGCTGGTATCGGGGGAGGGCTCAGGGGAACCTGGGGCCCTCCTGGGAACAGCAGGGTCCGGGCTGCAGTGTGAGGGGCTCCACGGCCCCTCTGGCGACACAGTGAGAACAACAAAGCAAGGGCAGGCGTCTCCCCACAGCGGACCCCGATTCCAGCTCAGCAAAGCCGGCCTCAGGCCGGGGCCTCAGGGACGATGCGCCCACCCCACGCAGGGAAGACGCGCAGCAGGGACACGGGGCGGGCGTAGCGGCCCGGCCACCTCCACCCACAACACTGGCGAGCACACGGCGCCTGCACACGTGTGCACACGACACACATTTATTGCATGAAATGCTTCTCAGCACTTTTCCCGCGTAAGCAGAACCCAGGAAACAATTCAGGAGGTGACTCGCTGGGCTGAGTCCTGGGGAACATAGAAATGAACCCGGATATCGGAGCCTTGAACAAACTGGGCTGAGGACGATCACCGCCGTGACCCAGAAAGTGCTGCCTGCTGGCCCCCAGGGTCCCCTCACCCCGAGAGCGAGTGACATGACGGTCATGGAGTGCTTCAGAGGCTCCCAGCCGTGACCCATGGCCAGGCGGGCACAGGAGGGGTGCGACACCAGCTGTCCAGAACCCCGAGTGATGAAGTCAGCCCGGCAGCCGCAGTGCCAGCGGAGCCCCAACAGTGCAAGGTGGGGTGGGGGCTGGAGGGAGGGGCCAGGCACTGCGTCGGGAAGCCAAACAGACTGGGGCCGGCCAGGCCGAGTGCCCCTCAGGGGCTGTGTCCAGGAGCGCCCCATCCTCCAGCAGGCAGGGACCTGCTCCACCAGCGCTGCCCGGGGAAGGCTCCGAGCCTCTCCTCTCCTCTCCTCTCCTGTCTTCTCTCCTCTTCTCCGGAGCGGCCTCAGAAGCCCTGCAGCTCGGGGAGGTCCCGGTAGAGGTCCAGCGTCTCGGGGTTGGAGAAGGCCCCGCGGTGCTCCACCGCCTTCCCCGACAGGATCTCCTTCACCGCCACCTCCACCTTCTTGCCGTTGAGTGTGTACTGCGGGGGGAAGGAGGGGGCAAGTGTGGTTCAGACCGGTCCCCCACAGAGAGCGACACCCACACCCCGGCCCACACCCTGCCCCGCACCCTCAGAGGACCCCGGTCCACGAGCTGAACCTGGTGATGGGCAGGCACCGCGGGGCAGGGCCCGGATGGACAGCAGCCCGCCTCACACTGGGGGCCGCAGCCTGGACACCCCAGCACCCACCACCGGGGCCCCGCACGGTGTGACCGAGCGAGCAGATGAGTGGTTCCACTCGCCTGAGGCCAGCTGCAGAGTCATCGAGGTCCCTCAGGCCCTGACCGCAGGACAAGAGCTCGGTGCCTCCTCAGGGTGCAGGCCTGAGCCCACAGGAACCCCAAGGTAGGATCCCCTAGAGGTGGGTCCACCTGCCACCATGCCCGGGGCGGGGGAGTCCCTCACAGGGCCAGCGGGCCAGCCCCTGCTCCTGCGGCTGCAGCCTCACTTCTGTGTTTATTTCCTGAACCATAGACAGGGCTGCGGGTGAGCCCCTGCAGAAGCAGCCAGGCCCAGAGCCCCAGCAACTCCGTGGGGCTCCCTGGGGATGGGACCCCGAGTCAGAGTCCCCACCCCGGCTCCCCCAGCCAGGGGTCCTCTCCGGCACCTGCCCTTCCCTGGGCGCTCCTCACACAGTGGCTTCTTTTTTTACCTGAGAGGTAATTAAATTCACTCATTTGAGAAATTCAGTTGACGTGTGAGCTAATTAAGGTTCTAAGCACCGGCTTCCAGGGACAGCCTGTCATCCTTGGTGCTTGTCACTGGTGCCCTCCCCGGGACACAGATGTCCCCAGCATCATCGCCGTGTACCTCCCAGCTCCTGAGGGTGGCCTGAGAGCTCGAAGCGCCCCAGGGACCCTGCAGGTGCCCAGGGACGGGGGAGCAGTAAGGGGTCCAGGACACCCCACCCCACACCGTGGTGAGAGTGGAGCCCTGTAGTTCCAGCCCCGCAGGGGAGCCCAGGTGCTCCGTGCACTGCACTGCAGCCAGCGCGGCCTCTGCCCTCTCAGAGTCCAGAGACTGAGGGGGCGACGCTTTGCGGGCACAGCAGGCCTCGGAGCCAGTGTCTTGCTGGGTCACCCAGGCTGGCCTTGAGCTCAGGGAGATCCTCCTGCCTCAGCCACCTGAGGGTGGGGTCACCGCTGTGTGCTGCCTGGCTCCTCCAGGGTCCCCTCATTTTGCCTGCGCCCCATTCCCTCCTGGGCATGGCAGGGGTTTGGGTCCTTCACCACATTACACACAGGATGTGAGGAGGGCCCTGCTCACACAGCAGGCCACAGGGGCTTCTAAAGGCTGCAGAAGACAGACACCGGGGCCCTCGGAGGCCCAGCTGGGCAGGAAGCCTGACAAACCCCTTGCTGCTGCCATGGGGCCCCAGAAACCCTTTCTCCACCCGAGCCTGGAGGACACAGACACTCAGGTGAGGCAGGTGGCCCTGCAGCCCGGCCCACAGCCAGCACCCGTGGAAGGGGAGGTGACAGCAGCATCACTAAGCAACGTGGACATAGAAAGGGGACTCTCGGAGCACAGGCCCCACCCGCACAGCGCCCGGCGTACCGGGATGCCCCGAGTCTCCAGGATAACGCTGGGCACATGGCGTGCAGACAACCCCAGACGGATGGCATCGCGGATCCGCTTGACCAGGTCTGGCCGGAAGCTGTGGCCAGAAGCCATCTTCAGGAAAAGGACCACCCGCTCCGCGCCGTCCCTGTTGTACTGGGGCACGCACAAGCTGTCCTCCACCTCCTCGAAGGCCTCCACTGCAGGGACAGGAGGATGCGCTGGGTCACAGGAGGCCCCGGAGCTGGCAGTGCTCAGTCAGTGGGACAGGGCCCAGCGTAGGGGCACTGGGCTGAACAGGGAAGCCCCGTCCTGTGCTGGGCACTGCAAGAGCACCTGCCGGCCTGGAACCGAGGCCACCTGCAGGCTGGACTCAGTGACAAGGAAAGAGTGGACGGAGGACAGGGCAGGCCCCAGGGAGCCCGGTGACGGCCAGGCAGCCAAGACCACAGGCCTGCATCCCACACCCACGCCTGCATGGCACTGGGGCCCCTCGGCACGGTGCCGCCTCTCCCTGCTTTTCTTCCTCATCCGGAACCCAGACCCAGTGAGCTGGCAGGAAGGGCGGTGCAAGAACCCCGGGGCGGCCCTCAGGTGCCTTCTGGGAAAGAGCTCACCATGGGGTGTGGGGGCCTCGAGGGGAGGGGCGCCTACCAATGTTGTAGATCTCTGAGCTGCCGAAGCGCACCCCGTTGGGGTTGAGGGTGCCATCGCTGTGGGGACAGAGTTGGGAGCACTGAGTCCAGGTCCCTTCCCCACGGGGACCACACCTGCCCAACTCCAGCCCAGCCCTGACATCCAGGTCCCCCCGTGGTCACCTGCTGCCCCACACAGGGCCCCCACGCCCACTCCCAGGCCTCCCTGCTGGAGACGAGGCCGTGCACAGGGACAGACACAGCTGTTCCCACCCAGGAGAGGGGACAGCGCCAGGCGGGGTCTTCAGACAGAGCCCAAGGCACAGTGGGGAGAGCGTGGACACAGGGCTGGCATGGGCCAGGAAGCAGGTCCTGGGGAGCCCAGCAGGGCAGGAACTGGGGAGCCCAGCAGTGGCAGGCAGGTGCCCCGGAGGACAGGCAGTGCCCCGGCCTCACCTGCGGCCCAGCATGATGATGCCGCCCGTCTTGGGGTTGATCTTGCAGTAGTCACCGTGCGTCCAGATTCCTACCAAGAGGCCCGGATACTGTTACCCCTGAGGTTCGGTGGGGATGGGCTGCCTGACAACCTACAGACAGGCCAGACAGCCACGGGACACGGCCAGCAGATGTCATAGGATGATGGCAGGGCTCCCACAGAAGGGGACACCAGGTCTCGGGAAGGAGTGGGATGGGTGTGGCGAGGCGGCTGGGGTGGGGACCAGAACCAGGTGCTGGACCAGGACAAAAGCAGCGCCAGGCCCAGCAGAAGCCTCAGCACAGGGACACACAGCCGCCAGCAGGTGACCCGGGGCGACCCATCCACCCAGCTGGGGGCGGCGCCAGTGCCAGTCCAGGCCTGGCACTGATCTCTGCTGCTGCAGCCTCAGCAGGGCCACGAGGGCCTCCTGGGGCCGCCCTACCTGGCTGGGAGACTCTGACTCCGGCTCCAAGACGCCTGCCCACCCGAGGGCACAACAGCGTGTGGGTGTGACCCTACGCTGCCCCCCCCCCCCCGCGCTTCCCGACTCTGCACACGTGGTCCGTGCAAAAGTGCATCACCCCCAGGGCAGCAGGACCTCGTGCAAGTCACTGCGGGACTGAAGGCTCCTGAACCACGTGACAGCGGTGGGGGAGGGGACCGGGAACCACAGCTCTGCACGGAGACGGCCAGGCCGCAGGCTCAGGCGGTGCAGCCCGAGGGGGACCCGGCTGCGAACCGTCCTCTAGGGGACTGGACAGTATGCAGGGCACAGAAAGGGACGGCTGAGCCAGGCCCTGGCCACCGCCGCTCCCCGCCCCACCCCCAGCGGCCGCCTCCGACCCGCGGGAGCCCCGCGCCCACACCAGCCGGGCCTCGGGCGCCGCCTACCGGGGAACTTGGAGAAATACGCCTTCCGGTACTTGCTGCCGGTCTCGTCGTTCCAGAAGTGCGTGGGCTGGCAGGGGACCGGCCGCGTGCACACCAGCTCCCCGCTCTCGCCCCACACGGCCTGGCCTGGCCAGGAGAGGAAGCGGTCAGGGCGCGGGCAGGGACAGGACACGAGGGGCGGGTGATGCCCCGCTCACCGCCCGGTGGGAGTCCGGACCGAGAGAGCACCGGGAAGCTGCCCCCCGAGCCCCAAGTCCGACACCAGACTCAGGTCTAAGAGACCTGGAGAGACGGGGAGGGAGCGAAGGAGGACCTTGGGCGCAGGTGGGACTCCGCCCGGGACACCCCAACACACCCTGTGTGTACTTCCCCAGGGGTCACAAACGGCTGGGGCAACTGTGGTCTCTGAATTTGTTCAGTGCATGCCCCAGTCCCTGTCTGGTGCTAAGGGCGCAAACAGGCTTTGCTTTTTTCTTGTCTTTTTGACACAGGGTCTGACTATGCAGTTTAGACTGGCCTTGAGCTCACTTTGTAGCCCAGGCTGGTCTCAAACTCTTAAGACTCTCCTGCCTCAGCCTCCCAAGTGCTGGGATGACAGGCGTGTGCCACCACGACCAGCTTAGGCTTTGCTCTTCCTAGCAAGTGGCCTATGGGGACACAGAGCAGAGGCTTGGGAGACTGCATCGTCCACACCCACCCCACCCCCCACTGCAGAGCCCTCCCAGGGAAGCAGGGGACCCCACCTTGGGCAGCCTCTAGTCCTAGGCCAGCCCACACCTGCTCAGGGGCCCCTGGGAGCACCAGGCCAGGTCGGGGAGGGGCCCTGCGCTTCAGGCGGTCAGCGTCCCCCACCACCCCTGGAAGCCACAGGAGCTGTTACCGTCCTCGTCCCAGGCCTCCACGGCCATGGCCAGGTTCCGGGCCTGGACCTCGCCCTTGTACACTGGGACCGACGTGTTGTGGCCCACGAAGCAGGAGATGATGTCGGTGCCCCCTGCAGGGAACGCATGCTCAGGACCCAGATGGTGCCTGCTTCCCCAAGTCAGGCACAGCGCAGCCCAGGGGACAGCATGACAGCTCTGCAGACAGATGCAGCAGCCGGCTTCTCAGGCCGGGAGACTCAGGAGCTGGACTGAGCCCTGAGATGGACTTTCTTCCTAAACACTGGGATTGCTGGGCGCGGTGGCCCACACCTGTGATCCTAGCCCTCAGGAGGCTGAGTCAGGCAGGTGGCCACGGACTCAAGACCTGAACTATAGATTGAGACCTTGTCTCAAAGCAAACAAAATATACTGGAAATTGAACCTCAGCCCATCTGATACTGACCTACATTCCCAGCCTCTTTTAAAATTTTTTTAAAATTTTTCTGAGACAGGGTCTAAGGTGCCCAGGCTGGGTTCCATCCTGCAACCTTCCTGCCTCAGCCTCCTGGAGGGCTGGGATGACAGGTGTGCACCGCCTGGCATGCTTCCACTTGTCTGGATACCTGAGAAAACGGATTTCTCATTAGAGCAGTGTTTTCCTTAACCCTGTTCTGCGTATACAAACTAGGGAGTGACTGCATGATTTTAAGACCTGTATAAAAAGACTCTGTCTTCAGAAGTCAGCAGGATTTGTGAGAATCCACCTGTGCCTTCTACTCTCTGGCTCCCCAGAAAAGCTCAGGTCAAGATCTCAGCCACCACCAAGGTCTCCTCCCCCCAGACCCCAAGAGGTGGGCACCCTGTGACGGGCTTCAGGGACACGGGCAAGGAGAGTGGCCCTCTTTAGGAAGACAGACCAAAGCTGGAGCCGTGGTGCCCGCCGAAATCCCAGCTACTCAGGAGGCTGAGGCAGGAAGAGGCAATCTGCTGGCTGCTTAAACTGAGCAGTGCCACGTTATTCAGTGTCAGTGTAGCTCCTCACTGCCACCGTGACAGCCTTTCCCACTAATGTAACCTTATATGGCTCCTTCTCGCCTGCTGCAGGCCTCCTGTACAGAGCCAGTGCCAGTGAATTCAGGAACTTGCTACAACTTAGCTGCTCGTCTGTAACTTTAAGTCATTGTCCGGGACACGCATACGCCATGCGAGCCACCTGGCTGTGTGTACCGCCCACGTCCCACCCTACCACGTCCCACCCTACCCCTGAGCACAGAGCTGCAGCAGGTGTGGACGACAAGGCACCTGAGTTTCCTGTGCATTTCCCCAGGACCGCCCTCAGGGGGCGGCATTTGCTAGCTCAGTCTCCTGGGTGCTCAGAGGGAGGAGGACACGGGGGCGGGGTTTGGCAAGGTTGGGGGCTGAGTTCGAGGGGGTGGGGCGGGGCGGGGTGGGCGCACCTGAGATGGAAGCCAGCAGCACGTTGCTCTTCACACATTGGTACACGTACTCGTAGCTCTGGGCTTTCAGCGGGGAGCCGGTGGACAGGATGGTGTGCAGCGTCTGCAGGCTGTGGGTCTCCACTGCAGAGGACGAGCCGGGCGCTCAGCACCAGGCCCGCCCTCTGGACACAGGGCTCGGGGTCCCTGCGAACTCACCCGGCTTCAGGCCTTTCTCCTCCAGCACTGCCAGCCACTTGGCACCCGTCCCCAGCACGGTGATGCTACGGGCGGGGGAGAAAACCAGAGGCCTCAGCGCTGTGGCCCCCTCACCTGCCCAGATGGGGCCCGCTGCCCGGCACCCCAAGCGCCTACCCGACCCTGTCCACCAGGTCCCACAGCACGTTGGGCGTGGGCACCAGCGGGGAGCCGTCGTACAGGACCAGGGACGCCCCGGTGGCCAGCGCGGACACCATCCAGTTCCACATCATCCAGCCGACCTGCGTGGGGCAAGAAGCTGGCTCTGTGGGGGTCCAGGTGGGGTCCCCAGAAAACTGCCACGCACTGACCAAAGGCCCCCGAGATCCAGAAAGGACGATGAGTTGGGCCACCAAGGCCAGGATCCCACCACCACCGCCCCACAGGCTGCTGCTACCACTGAGGTGGCATAAGAGGGGCTCCGTGGGGGGACCCTGCTCCGGAAGGTGGACCTGTGAAGATCCGCTCCTGGGAGCCCCCAGCACACAGCGATCCATCTCAATGCTGTATCGCTCTCACCAGGGCCTCTGTGAAACCCTAGTGCCCTCCTCGGGGTGCTGGGCTCCCCAACTGCCCCGCAGGGCTGAGAGGGGACAGGGAAGCAAGAGCCTGTGCTCTGGGAAGCTGCTCTGCAGCCGAGCACTGGGAATCAAGTTACAGGGCAGGAAAAACCCAGCCATGTGACAACCCGTGCTCACCCCACAGGAACCCCGGGGTCAGCACGGACCCAGGGCCTGTCACAAGGCCACAGAGGGATTCCTGGTGCCAAGCCTGTGGGCAAGAATCTGCCTCCAGCACTGATCCATTAAAACCTCAGCACAGCACTGCAACCCGGGAAATGGAGCCGAATGGTTCCAGAACCCCTGGACAGCTGCGTGTGCTCAGACAGGGCCCATGAGGAGCTGGGCATGGAGGCGCAGGAGGCTGAGGCAGGAGGATCGACAGTTCGAAGCCAGCCTGGGCTACGGGGTGGTGAGACACAGGCCCCTGCCCAGCCCTCGCCCCCTCCCAGGCCCCCCCCCAGCTCGAGGCGGTATGACTCGACCCCTGCCCACAGGATAGGGGAAGCACGAGGGCCCAGCCTCACCGTGGTATAGTACAGCAGGACGTCGCTGGAGGTCAGGTTCCCGTGCAGCATGTGCTCCTTCAGATGCTGGATGAGGGTGCCCTGTGGGGCACAGGGGTTCAGCTAGGCCGTGGTAGGGGCGGCGACCTCCCTGATCACTGCCCTGGTGCCCCGCCTGCCCGGAGGACCCAGAACTCCTGAAGCCCACACCTCACAGCTACGGGCCAGGCGCCCAGCCCAGGGCGCTCCCTGCTGGAGGACAGGGGCAGTCAGGCAGCCTGCGCGCTGGGTCTCAGCCCGGGTTACAGGGGCGAAGGAACTACGGAGCCCGGAAGCAGTTTCGGAGCTAGGCGGTTTCAAAAGGAGCAGTTTTAAAATTGGGGCTGGGGATTTAGCTCAGCGTTATGCCTCGCAAGCAGGCAGTCATGAGTTCGATCCCCAGTACCGATAAAAAGGAAAAAGACAAAAATAAAAAAATAAAAAAAAAGAACAGCTTTTCTTATACAGCCTTTCCCTTTCAGGGGAGGCAGGGCGCCCGCTTCTGATTGGACACCCTCTCACCAGGCTGCCAGGCTTCCTGTTGCTGTTTGGTTTCTGAGCCAATCTCACTATGCAGCCCAGGCTGGCCTTCAACTTCCAGGTATCCTCCTGCCTCAGCCTCCCCAGTGCTGGGGTCACAGGTGTGCACCACCACACCCAGCTATGTGAGGCAACCTTAGAAGAAAAGTGGGCACACAGAGCAGCACCAGGGGTGCCAAGTCTACTGTGCCCCCTCCAAGGGCCAAAGAACCCTCATCCCCACAGTCATGGGTGTTCGGGGCGGGGCGCTGGCTCAGAACCAGCTGGGGCTGCACATCAGGAAGCAGTCACGGCTTTGTGAGAGACCCCACCCCTGGCTGGGACTCTGTGGAGGGGCCCCAGCAGCAAAATCCCCTCGGCCCCTCAGCCTGGACCTGCACCCCACCCCCAGGGACTGTGAATGGGGGAGCCTTTATCTCTAAACTCCCCAGCGAAACCAAGACGGGATGAGAAGCCTCAGGAGGACCCGGCAGGAAGCGGTCCTGCCCCGCCACAGCCAGATCTCGGACTTCAGCCTCCAGAATTGAGAAAACGGCTCTGAGCCAGGCACACATCTGTGATCCCGGCACTCAGGAGGCTGAGGCAGGAGGATTGTTACAAGTTCCAGGCCAGCCTGAACTGCATAGTGAGACTGTCTCAAAAAGACACACACACACGCACACACACACGCACAAAAGAAAACAGCTCCGGCCCATGAGCCCTCGCCCAGCCCCGGTTCTGAACACCAGAGGGGTGGCTTCACGTGCTCAGCTGTGAGCTACGCTGTGCGGTGCCCCGGCCCTGCACACAGCCGTGGACACACAAGGATGTCTCAGAACAATGCCACGGCTCTTCCTGCTCACTGAGGACCTCTGCTCCCCCTCTTGGATGAGTCTGGCTTTCACGAGGGCTGCCAGCACCACCACCGTCCCCCGCAGTGCCCGATCCCCTGGGGCCCCCCCAGCCCCTGCATCCCCACAGCTCACACACAGTGCCCGCCAGGCTGGGGACCCCAAGGGTGTCACTGTAGCTCAGGACACATCGGATCCTGGCCACAGCCACTCACAGAGAAGCAGCTCACCTGGGGTTCCAGGGCACCACTACAGTGCTGCTGCCGTGGCCAACCAGGTAAGGGACAGGGATGGGGACAGGCAGGGACCTACCCCGGCGGAGTGCACCATGCACTTGGGAGCCCCGGTGGTGCCCGAGGAGAACATGATGAAGAGCGGGTGGTTGAAAGGCAGCTGCTCAAACTCCAGCTGCGGGGGGTGCTCGCCAGGGCCGCCGGCCAGGAAGTCCTCCAGGAACACACTGCGAAGAGGCGCTCGGTGAACACAGGACAAGGGGTGCAGCCCAGCTCGGGCCCCTGCTGCACCCCTCCCCTCCCCTCCACTCTAGCACTGGAAAGCCGGTTCCCAAGGGCCGGGCCCTGGCTTGGGAGCATCTGGACAGTGACAGGGACCTCTCAGAGCTTTCAGTCACACAGCGGGCTGCACCACAGGCTCAGCCCCGCTGCTTTCAGGGACAGGATAAACCGAACCTACCAATTCTACCTACATGGAGGGCGAGTGACAGAGAGGGTTCCAAGTTGGTTCCTTCACTTGTTTTTGAGACAGACGGAGCCACACTTTACAGTTCAGGATGGCCTTGTACCATTACGTAGCCCAGCTGGCCACAGACTCATGGAGATCCTCCTGCCTCAGCCTCCCCCAGCACCAGGACCACAGAGCCACCCCCCTGCCATGCCTGGCTTCAAGTTGGTTTCTTAACTGCAAATGGGGCTGTCTGTGCCTCTTTAGAGACCCACTGCCGCCAGGGAACTCCCAATTAGCACAGCGCTGTTTGTATGCAAACTCAGAAAGCAGCTAAGGCTTCACTTCCTCTGTGCAGCAATGGCCTGATTACGCACTGAGCCCTGCGGTGGGGGACACAGTAGTGGTGGTGGTGGGGAGCAGTTTAAGAGCCTTTCCCACCCACACACAGGTGGCCAAGGTGTCAATGGCAAGGTCATTTATGTACTCTGAGGGTGACACACACAGTAATCACAGCACTGGGAGGCTGAGCAGTGGGAGGATCACAAGAGGGTTTAAGAGGTTGAGACCAGCCAGGGCTACAGAAAATTCAAGGCCAGCCTGAACCACGCAGTGAGATCCTGTCTCACAGCAAAACAAAAATGCCAAAGCGGATCGAGGGCAATCTGCGCTACTGACCCTAAGAAGCCTGCCAGCCCAACGCTGGCCAAGAGAAAGCACCAGAGGTGGGTGTCCGGGAGCCACCAAGGAGAGGCCTGGGCTGGCGCACAGCAGCCTTGGTAGGTGGCCTTCTATTTCCCATCGTGGCAGTTGAGAAGCCCTGCTCCCGGACACCTGGCACGGCCTCCCTCCCATAAGGGGACAGAAACCACCACACTAAGGACGATCGTCTTGGGCAAAGGCACTGAGGCAGCACCGGCAGATGAGGGACTCCTCAGGCCTGGCACCCCCTGAGCGGGGACAGACACTGCCTGCTCCCTCGGGTGGGGAAAGCTGCAGAGGTACCTTCCGGCCAGTTCTGGTCCCTTCTTCTGGGACCCCAACCATGGAAAGTGCCGACCTCACTGGATGCTGCACACAGGGGAACCATCAACAGTGAGGACTTCCCTTGCCCTTCTAAAAACAGAACATCCTGGAGGGCAGGGGATATCTTCCCTGGGCTCCCTGAGACGGGCAATCCTTGTCATCCAGAGGTCAAAGGGGCACAGCCACAGGCAGCTTGGATGGGGCTTCATGGGCGCTAAAGGCCCTGGTTGCCGGCTGCTGCTTTTGACAGATCAGCACAAACACGTCACAACCCCAAGCCAGGTGCCGGCACTGGCAGAGCCTGGCTGGCTGCCCTCCTCCCTCCGTGGCAGGGATGGCCCCACTGTGGACGGAGAACCAAGGCACAAGGAAGCCAGACACTTGCCCAGGGTACCCAGCCGGGACACAAGCCCACGAGCAATCTCCCACAGGGCTCTGAGCTCAGGACAGACACGGGCTCCACACCACAGAGCCGAGCATCTGTCCACAGGAAGGAGGAGGCCCCGCCACGCTGCTGTCCTCCTAGGGCATGGCCTGAGCTGGTGGCCAGGGGACAGGGCCCCGTGAGGAGGACTGCCCTCTCCTAAGCCCGCCCTGGGTCCCCAGAGAGGGCGGGGACCAAGCCACACCCACTCGCTTCCTCTCTGCTCAAAATCCAGGCCCCTGCTCTTCTGCCAGGGACTTGGGACGGGACCTCTGCGGGTTTACACATGTCAGAAGGCAGATGGCGGGAAGGTCAGTGACAAGGACCCACCCAGGCTCTAAAGGGAGCCGAGCACCAGGGGCTCCCTGGGGCAGGACCAGGATACCCACGGGCACCCGATCTGCAATCAGTCAAGTGCCTTCAATGAAACGGCACCATGAACAGTGCCAGCGTGGGGGTGCCCTCCTGTCACACTAGCCAGCACTCAGGAGGCTGAGGCGGGAGGATCACCTCGAGTGTGAGGCCGGCCTGCACCCCCTGGCTGGCTCTAGAGTACTAAACCCTCCTGCCTTCTGAAGGGCTATGACCAAGTGCCCGTGGAGAGACCCCGAAGGGCACCTGCCTGAAGGGGTGGCGCACAGGACCCCCGGCCCGGGGACCGGAAGGCAGCGCTGTCACCTGTTGGGGATCTTGGTGAGGTCTATCTTGTCCCTGGAGTTGATGTAGGGGATCACCACCACCTTCCTCAGGTCCGGGAGTCCTGGAGGAGAGAGAGAACACCAGGTCACGGGCCGGGGCTGTGGGCAGGTCTCTGCAGCAGTGCAGCGTGGCCAGGGCCTCTGCACCCACGCACCTTTCGTCACCTGCTGCAGCTTCTCCATGTGGCTGTGCTCCTTGCTGTTGTACACCACGGCCTCCACCGAGAACAGCAGCTTCGGCTGGATCTGTGAGAAGCGGTCCAGGACACCCTGCGCGGGAGGGGACAGTGCCGGGGTCACCTGAAGCCAGGGTACAGCAGCCACACTCCCATGCCCGGCACCTGTGGCTGACACCGGAAGCGATGGAGACACAGCTCACATCTGAGAGGGCCTGCACCCCGAGTCCTGCTGCCCGGCCAGAAGAGTCTAGCTCAGCACAGCCTGCACCACCTGTGCCGAGGCGCCTGCTCCCACAGCCCTGACCCTCAGCTGAAGAGGAACCCACTGCCCAACACTGACTGTGCCACGCGTGTTTGCCACGTGTACCATCTGGGTCCCTCACAGCGACCTCTCAGGGATCAGGGCTGCGTCCAGGACGGGCTCAACTGTTAAGCATGCCTCACCATGACCCCGGCCCCCAGCCTGCAGGTCCCCAGGGCCACAGGTCAAAGTGCCCTGGGCAACCCCGCCTGCTGTCCCCACCCCAGCCACCCGAAGAGCAGGAAGTACCCGGTTACTCTGCTGTCCCTGCCTGGAACAGAGGCCTTCCTGGGCTCCAGACCCACCGGGGCTGCTCCAGGAGAGCAGGGCTGCACCTGGATGGACCTCGGTGCCATCTGCAGAGGGACTGTCTGGCTACTGTGGCTGGGCGGACTGACCAGCCACGGGCCAGTGAAGCCAGGCTGTATTTACAGAGCTGCCCAGGTGACCCCAGCAGGGAGGGACCCTGCAGGAATTAGGAAGGGTGGAGTCCCCCAAAGCCTATGTGCTCACAAAAGGGACTTCCGGGACTGGGGGGACTCTGGCTGATGTGATGTTAGGAGGTGGAGCCCGGTCAGAAGAGGCGGTCACTATGGCGCTGACCAGAAGTGAACACCTCCCTCCCCGCTCTGCCCCCTCTCTGGGCTTCCTGGCCACCGTGTGGTGAGCAGCTGGCCCCTGGCAGGCCCTTCCTCCACAACACTTCTGCCAGGAGCCACATAAGGCCTGGAACTTCTAAACATAAGCAGAAGAAATTTCTCCTCCCTCAGACCAAGGGCATCAGGGATCTGTCAGCAGGGGCAGGACCCGGAGGGGGCAGGAACCGAGGAGGATGAGTGTCAGTTATAGCCATGCCAGCCCCACTGAGCCCCCGAAGCCACCACCCTGCAGCCTCACCACCAGAGTCACTGGTCTCCAGTCCGGCAGGTTCTGCCTGTCTCCAGAGCACCCCGTGTCCAACGCCCTCCAGGGACAGCTCCTGCCTGGTCCTGAGCCTGCAGTCCAGCGGCTCAGAGCATCTTCCTGGGCCCCTCGCCATGCACAGAGCTTGACACAGTCACCCACAGCCCTGCCTGCCCCGCAGTCCCTGCTTGGGGCCCAAGCTGACCAGAACTTTCTGGAGCTGGGGAGCAGAACCCTGCCCCGCTCCACCCCAGGCCCCAACCCCACCGAGGAGACTACAGGGCTCCCTTTCGGCAAGGCCTCCAGTTGAGTCAGTGCTACCTGGGCCTCGGTCCCTGCCTCTGGTTCTCCCAGGTAAAAAGCTCCGAAGGACTCGAATGCTTCCAGTTCCCAGCTCCCCAGCTTTGCACCCCGTGACTCATCACTGCTCTGTGTGCCCTGCTAGGCCACCCCCAGGACCGTGCCAGCCCCAAGCAGCCACCTGAGGGGAGTGGGGTGAACCTAGCCCAGCAGCCGCAGACTCCTGTGGAGTGGGCCCTGGGCAGCCCCTCACTCCGCCAGGCCTTTGGGGTCAGGACGGCACAGCCACCCTAAAGCCTTTACCAGGCACACCAAGGATTAAAAATCCTTGCACTCTGGGAGGCTGAGGCAGGAGGGTCCCAAATCCAAGCCCAGAATGGGTGATTTAGCAGCCTAGTAAGACCTTGTCTCAAAAAATGAGGGCCAGGGATTTAGCTCAGTGGCACTAGCACCTGCCTCGCAAGTGCAAGGTCGTGAGTTCATTCCCCAGTACCAAAAAATAAAAGAAAAGAGTAACTTTTAGTTCTTTTTTCCTTTTTTCCTTCTTTTTCTCCTTGAAATAAAATAGATTTGGGGAAAACACACACACACACACACACACACACACACACACACACACGTCCCTGCAAAGGCCCTGGCCCAATCCCCCGGACTACAAAAATGACAAAAAACAGGAAAAAGAGGACATGCTTTACCCAAGAGGCCGCCTCCAAGCACAGGAGCTCCTGTGCACACCCCCAGAGCTGCAGGGACACCAGGCCCAGGGTCCCCGTGCTGAGCTCCAAGGGTATCAGCAGCTTCTCGGGTGCCTGTGGGTCCCCAAGCTCCAAAGGGCCTGAGTGCTCAGTGTGCACAAACCCCATCCCTGTCTCCGACCACTGTCCCCAGCTCAGGGACAAAAAGACACAGGGGGATGGGCAGGGACAGAGGGACACACTGACTGTGCCTGTCTCGTCCTGCGGGGAGCACTGCAGCCAGGAGGCCAGACAGGGCAGCCCACACCCCTACAGCAGGGAGCACAGCGGGAGACACCCCCTGCCCGGCCAGGAGGCCCTGTGATGACCCAAAATCACAGGCCAGAGGATGGCGATCGCACAGGGGTCCGAGCGACTCCGCCGGCCGCAAGCATGCAACTCTGCCAAGGCCATAGGTCAGCCGCCAGCAGGAAATCAAAGCCTGGCTCCCCACACCTCCCCACATGGCTCAGGGGCTGCCGGGTGGCACTTTCCCAAGCTCCTGGCTCAGCTGGATCCACAGCCCCGACCAAGAGGACCAGGCCGCAGGGGCATTGGAGATGACCACCACAAAGCGCCCAGGAACCCACCCACTGCCCAGGCCCCAACTCACGTTCACGCCGAAGTCCGGGGACGTGGCGCTCCAGATGGCGCCAATGCTCGCTGTGGCCAGCATGGCCTCCACAGCGTGCACGCCGTTGGGCAGATAACCTGGCGGGGGACGGGAGAAGCCATAAACTCAGGTAAACTGAGGCAGCAGACTCACACAGTTCCCGGGACCCCACCGCAGAGACCTCTGAGGGGAGCACTCACCTACCACGCGGTCCCCCTTCTGCACGCCCATCTTCCGCATGGCTGCTGCGAACAGAGCCACCTGCTGCCGCAGCTCCTCAAAGGTCACCTTCACGATCTCCTCTCTGCCTTCCCCTGGGAGGAGGAGGAGGAAAAACCCAAACCCGGTTCCAGCCATCACGCAGGGACAGGGCCACGTCGCGGGCACAGAGGGAGAAACCTCGCCTGAGCAGCCGTGGTCGCCAATTCATGCCCCAGAACACCGTGCAGAGGGGGAACGTGAGGTGACAGGCAGGTGACCAGATTCCCGGGCTGCGGGCATCAGCTGGGACCTCTGGGGCCTATGGCACAGACCACCCGCCACTGCCACCACCAGAGAGAACCACGGGGTCAGATGGGGAGGTCCAGTCCCCTCGGCCCCACTCCGATTGCCAGGCGGTGACATTTTCCCTGAGGACAGTGCCACAGGAAGCCAGGAAACCACACAGGCCCGGCCAGGCCGGGGGTGCAGCCCTCAGCCTGCAGCGCTTCCTCAGCCCAGCACTGGGCAGCACCACCTGCTGTGCTTCCCCTTTCTTCTTAGCCACACCCCCAGGCTGCCACCAGAACCCTGGGCAGTGCCAACTCCATCCCCGAGCCAGGGCTATCACTGGTTTGGAAAAGGTAGTGTGTGCCTGCAATCTCAGTACTCAAGAAGCTGAGGCAGGAGGATCTCTGTGCGTTCAAGGCAAGCCTGAGCCACATTTTGAGTTCAGGGCCAGTTTGAGGCCTTATCTCAAACAAATGAACCAACACACACCAGTGAGCTAACGGACAGGACAGTGGGAGGTGGAGATCCAGACCCCAACAACACAGCCCTGGCCTGTGCCTTCTCAGGGGCACCGCCACACAGATCAGGTCCAGCCAGGTGAGCCTTGGGCCGGGTGGAACCACAGGGTCACCTCAGACACCCCAGAGCCTCCCTACAGCTTGCTGCGCCTGCCTTGAGGTTCGGGCAGAGGGGCAGTTCTGCACCTCCCCGGGGGCAGCAGCCAGTGCTCCTGGTGTCACCCAGAGAAACCTCAGCGGCTTCCAGCTAATTGGTCCTGCAGCAAGAGAACAAACTGAAAACACAGAACAATTTTGTAGAAAAAACATGTTAAGTCTTTAACCGTCATGTTTTTTTGTAGGCTTGTTTTTTTTGTGGGAGGGCCTAGTTTTGTTTTGTTTTGATACCGGGGACTGAACTCACGACCTCACGTTTTAGCTCAGTGATTTAGCTCAGTGGCATAAGCACCACGCCAGGCAGGTGTTTATGCCACTGAGCTAAATTCCCAGCCCGGGGCCTAGTTTTTTGAGACAGTGTCTCACCAAGTAGCTCAGGTTGGCCTCAAATTTACAGCAGTCATCCTGCTTCAGCCTCCTGAACGCTGGGATTACAGGCCTGCACCACCTGGCTGAACATTACTTTTGAACTTGGGGAGGAGCGCCGCTCCCACGGGGCTCAGCTCTCCCTTGAGGTATTTAACTGCCCATCACAGTCTGCTTTGCAGTCCTGGAACCTGAAGCATCTCTTTCCAAGGCAACCACACACCCCTCGATGTTCCCAGCAGGGACCCCGCCTCCAAGCTCACAGATGGTGACTTCCTTTCCTGTCCAGGTTTCCTGTCCAGGTAACCGGATCCACCCTTGAAAGCCAATCTCCACTGTTTGCACCCTGGGCTGGTGGAGGAGGCGGAGAACGGAGCTCCATGCAGGCGAGCTCCATGCAGGTGCTGGGACGGCCTGTGTGGCCTGCGTGCCCTCTGGTGCCTGCAAGGAGTCACGTGCCCTCAGTCTGGTGTGCAGAGGCCTGGGCACTGGCCAGTTCCGGACCCTTAAGCATGGTTTTTTTTGTTTTGTTTGTCTTTTTGAGACAGGGTCTCACTATGCAGTTCAAACTAGCCTTGAGCTCACTTTGTGGCCCAGGCTGGTCTCGAACTCTCAACATACCTCCTCCCTCAGCCTCCGGAGTGCTGGGATTACAGGTGTGAGCCAGTACGCCCGGCTTAAGCAGGACCTCTGACTGGGGCTGTGACAGAATTTGTATCCGGAGGCCCCCCAAAGCCTCACGTGCTCACAGGCAGGGTTTTGGGGAGGTGACTGGGCTGTGGGGCTCAGTACTCTGTGGCTTAGTCCTCTGGAACACCAGCCTGCTCAGAGGAGGTGGGTCCCCACCCTTGATCTCCGCTGACCCCTGCCGTTGCACTGCAGCCTGCTTGGGGCCCAGCCCACTGCGAGGGAAGCTCGCACACTGGGAGCTCACATCCTCAGCTCCTGACACAGTGCTCATACACTTCATCCCAGCAACGCAACCAGTGGTTAAGTCAGGCCGGGGGCAGGTCCGAAGGAGCCCCTGGGTACCACCTGCCAGGCCCCAGTTCCACACCCAGCACCACACAGGGACACACAAAAGATATGTGGTGTGGGGCTGAGGCGTGGCCCAGGGGTGCAGTCTCCCCCTCCCCCGGCTTAGCACACGTGGGTCCCAAAGTTCCGCCCCATCAGGGAACAGGAAAAACAAGACCTTCTGCATAAACCGAAGTGGGAAATGGGGCGGGGATAGAGCTTGGCAGCCCAGCACCTGCCTGGCAAGCACAAGATCCTGAGTTCACTTTCTGATTCCAAAACACATAAATAAACTAAATGTGATCTCTGGCTTGGGCCCGAGCACAATGAAGGGGTGCTCACTAACTGAAGGGGCTCCAGCCTGGGCACACCAGGGCACAGCTGTGATCCCAGCACTCAGGAGGCCGAGGCAGGAGGATCACTGTAAGACCCAGGCCAAGAATACACAAGACCCTGCCTAAAAACCCCACAAAATTCCTTCATTCCAGTGCTTCTTGAGGCTGCTTTTTAGCACATAACTTGGGAATATTTTTTAAACTTCATTTTTAAGAAGAGAAGCTACCCGGGCATGGGGTACACATCTATAATCTCAGCACTCTGGGAGGCTGAGGCAGGAGGATCACAAGTTCAAGCTTCAAGGGCAACTTAGTGACTTAGGGAGACTGAAAATTAAAATTAAAAAGGGCTGGGGGTGCAGCTTCCTGGGATGGCCCTGTACCCCATCCCCAGTACCTCAGTGGGGAGCAGGAACCCCAGCCATGGTCCTGTCCCTGGTTCCCTGGTGCCCCATGCTGGTCACTCAGTGTGAGGCATCTCCTTTTCTCCTGCAAAGGCCACACGGCCGGTCCTGCCCTCCGCAGGGAAAGCAGAGTCCAGCACTGACCTGGCTGTCGCCGCACCGTGCCCCTCTGGACTCACTTGCGACATACAGGGCCACCTTGTCATTCTCCCGGTGCCTCAGCAGGTTCTCCGCGAAGTTCAGCCGGCTGCCGCGGAACCACTCGGGGACGTCCGCGATCCCTTTGGAAGTGTCCACCACCTGCTGGGCAGGGTGGACAGCACCTGCCTGAAGAGGAGCAGCCGGGCCCCCGCTGCCCATGAATGGGCCTCAGACACCCAGCCTGAGCCACCTGTGGGCTGGCACAGGACGCTGGGATCAGCTCTCCAGGAACCAACTCAACCTTCACCCAGACACAGAAGCCCCAGACCTGCTGCCCCCACCGCTCTCTGAAGCCCACACGGCCTTTTGCGTGCTTCCTCGGGATGTGGTGACGTTGGTTTGCTTTTTTAATTTTGTTTTGTCTCTCGGTTTGGGGGTATTTTCACATAAGGTCCACTAGGTAGTGCAGGCTGGCCTGAACCCCTGGTGCTCCTCCTGCCTCAGCCTCCTCAGGGATGGGAGGACAGGCGTGCGCCACCACACCAGGCTTGGTTTCCTCCTAAACAGCCGACACAGCAACCTTCTACAATGGTCTGCCCCCAGCACAGACCCCTTCTCCAGATGTTTCCTGATACAGAGGGCAAGGGGTTAAATTCTCTAAAACCCAGGTTGCAAAAAGAACAGAACTACAGATTGTGTGCACTTAACATCTTCAGCCTGCACACTGGGAAAGATGTGCCTTTCAAATGCATGCACTGCACAACCATTAAAATGTTTTAGTGAACGTAAAGAAAGAGAACCCCAATGCCTGCTGGCTGGCTCGGGCTGGCTCAGGACCCCAGGCAGGGCCTGGTCCCCTGTGATGGGGCGTCTGCGGCTGGCAGAGTCCTGGGCCGTGCTAACTCCAGCCAGGTGTCAGGACGAGGGATTTTCCCACCAATAAGAGGCCTTCAAAAAAGATGGGGCCCACTGCACCCCAAGACTCATACTGCACTCAGACACAGCACAGCAGGTGCAAGGCAGCCCCCGCTCACCTCGTCATACATGCGTGAGAAGATGAGTCCGCTGAACCTCCAGAACTCGGCCCAGAAGTCCGAGTAGGACGCCACCGACCAGTGGTACAAGTCATTGTAGTTCTCTGAAAACAGAAAGCAGAGCGCAGGCTCAGAGCAGGTTCAGCATGAGGTCCCCGCCACCCAGGGAGGGGGCCTAAGGTGGAGCTCGGTCACCAACCCTCCTGAGAGGGACAGGGGCAGCGATCCAAGCCACATGTGGTAGAACAAGCCTTCAATTCCAGTAACCTGGGAGGCTGAGGCAGGAGGATCACAAGCTGGAGCCAACCCTCAGTGACACAGTAAGACCTCCATCTTGAAAAAAACTAAAAAGAGGGCTGGGGATGTGGCTCACAGGGCGGGCTCTGGGTCCCTGGGTTCAGTCCTTACTACCACAAAGACAAGGAAGGCTGGATGGATGGCTGAATGGGTGGATGGATCCATGGATGCATGGGTGGGTGGATGGATGGGTGAGTGGATGGGTGAGTGGATGGGTGGATGGATGGATGGATGGATGGGTGGGTGGATGGGTGGATGAATGGATGGATGGATGGATGGATGAATGGATGGATGGGTGGGTGGGTAGGTGGGTGATGGATGGGTGGATGCATGGGTAGGTGGACAGATGGGTGGCTGGCTGGATAGGTGGGTGGACAGATGGAAGGACGGGTGATAGATAGATGGGTGGGTGGGTGGATGGATGGATAGATGGGTGGATGGATGCATGGGTGGATGGATGATGGATGGTAGGCAGATGCAGAGGTGCTTTGAGGTCTTGCATAAGCAGCTGAGTGGCCCGGGTAATGTCTGCCTAGTCCAGCCCCCTGGGGACTGCGCACACCTCAGCCCAGCACTATTGTTTGAGGCACCCACTGAGGGTGATACAGTCTTCTGAGACCAATTTGCAGAATTTTAAAGAGGACGAGATCAGCTGATGATCACAAAAACAGCTTCAGAGGTCAAGGTGGTCCAGTGGAGCTCAAGGCTTGTCCCAATGCACAGCCTGATGCTGCCACAGGCAGGCACCGAAGGGACACGGTGACAGCCGGAGGATGAGGGACCCTAGCACCACACAGCAGCTGCCAGCACCCTCACAGACAGCGGCAGGGGCCCCAGCCCTAGCTCCAGGCCTGAGTGCAGCACAGAGGGGCCTGGGCCCAGCCCTGCAGCAGTGTCTGGGCACGGTCTTCTGTCACACTGGATCTAGAGAACAGTCACCACCAGGCAGTGTGGGCCCTCAGCCCTAAGGGCTGCAGAAATGCCAGGAGCCCAGGGGTGGTAAGCCAGAGCGGCCAGGAGGGTCCCTTGTTGTAGTCAAGGTTGTAAGGAGAACAATTAGGCTCAGGACACAGAACTTGTACTAATATTTATGATGGTCACCCAGAGTTAACCCAAGAAAGTGCAGGAAATCTGTCCGTAATGCTAAAAACATAGGATATTCAGCCAAGGGCATGGATCCCACAGCAATGTCCTGCATGAGTCCAGATGAAGACCCAGAGCTCAAGACAATGCTTCCCACGAGCCCAACTGGAGGTCTACAGCCCACGAGGCCCCACGCCAGTCTGTTTCACAGATCTGCATTGGGAAGGCCCAGAGGTCAGCAGTAGAAGCTAGAAAGTCTGTGCCAGCGGGGTGAAGGAGCTGTGCCAGCAGGCTGAGGGTTCTGCACTGGAGCCAGGAGGCAATGCTCAAAATAAGGACCAGGGCTCCCTGAAAAGTACCACAGCCAGCCTCAGCGAGATGGAGGCCCCGATGAGCTCCTCCAACAAGAAGCACATTCGGGTACATGCCAGAAAGCCAGCATGACCAGTTTGTCATGGAGATTAAACAGTACACGTCCTCCCCTCCGGAGCCAGGAAGCAACGCTCAACCAGAGCCCCCGCAAAGTGAACCACAGACACTCTCACCAACAAGGTCCCGAGCTCCTCTCCACAATAGTCGAAACTATACTGGGGAAGCCAGCATGAGGAGCTCCTCCAGGAGAACCAACGGCTCAAACAGCAACACGCAGAGAAACCCACGTCTACCTTCTCCTTCTCCAAGTCTCTATTTATGCTGCCAACATCCCTCAGGTGGAACCTTTACGCTCAGCACCCTGCTGATTTAATTCAGCTGGTGCTAAGTTGACCACCAGTTTTTAATCCATAACACTCCTCTAACGCTGGAGGGTGCCGAAGCTCTGGGAAGATCTGAGTCGTGCAGGAAGGGATCTGATTCTGAGCAAGGAGGCCCACACCTCCTCGAGTGCAGCGTGGAGCACCAGGCACACAAGGCCTCCACCCAGGACGGGTCCTCTAAACCAGTGGGTGTGGCAGTCCACACTCGCAAACCCAGCACTCCAGAGGCTGAGACAGGAGGATCACTGCAAGTTCCAGGCTGCCCTGGGCTACGTAGTTAGACCATGTCTCAAAAAAACAACTGGGTCAGGGATTTAGCTCGGTAGCACAAACACCTGTCTGGCAAGCACAAGGTCATGAGTTCAATCCCTGGTACAAAAAAAAAAAAATAACCAAAACAAACAGGGGTGGTGACCGTGGGCCACCACTGCCTAAGAGCAGGGGCCCTCAGTTCAGCTTTTGCACCCCAGCCCTGCCACTCTGAGCCACCTAGTGGCTGACTCTTAAAAATTTGGTTTTCAGTGGAATTCTACAACTTAAGCTTCTCAGGAAGAACACCGGTCCCTGGCTGTAGCCCAGTACTGTTGGGGTGACCTCAGACTCGATCTCTCCCCATACTCCAGCTTCTCCCTGTGTGTGTGTGTGTGTGTGTGTGTGTGTGTGTAGCAGGGACATACCAAGGATCAGCTGAGGACTGCCTAGGCCGCAGTGTCAGCCCTCGCCATCCACAGATCACCAACAACAGCACAGGCCAGCAAGGGAAGGATAAACAGCAGAGGAGGCCAGCCGGGTGGGCACCCAGGGGAGCAGCGAGTCTGGGACAGCTGGCACCTGCACCTGTAGGGAACAGCGCTGGACCAGCAGGCCCCAGAGCTGGCAGCTGGTGAGGGCAGCTTCCTTCCCTCTGGTGCTGGGTTTGAACCGGGGACCTCATAATGAGCTGCTCTGGGGGCAGGGGAGACAGGGCCTGGCTTGACCGAGAAATCAACGTGAGTATGAGAGGCCCAGCTGAACCGGCTCAGAGACTGCACGCCCCTGGGCAAACGAGGAAAGACAGGGCCACTTCTGATCTCCCGAGAAGCTCCAGGCCTGTGACCAGATCCTGCCACCCACAGTGCGCAGACCCTCTGCACGTGCCTCCACCGGCTCTGTGCGGCCTCTGTAAGATGATCTTGCAATTCCTGATCGTCTATGTGGTTCTTCACGTCTGCTTCCCCAGCAAACACCAACTGACTCACACGCAGGGTCTCACTCTGTCTCTGAACCGCCCAGGCTATCCCCAAACTTTCAATCCTTCTGCCTCGGCCTCCTAGAGTACTGGGATGACAGACACACACCGTTGGTTGCATTTTGCTTTTTTGGGGGGTGGGTCATCTCGGTGCTTAAAAATAGCAGCATTCAAAAAAAAAAAAAAAAATAGTAGCATTCAGGCTACAAACTACCTCCAGCCCCAAACCTCCTGATACAGAGTATGGGCCAGGACTGGGGTTGTAGCTCAGGGGTAGAGTGCTAGCCTGGCATGCACAAGGCCATGGGCTCAATCCCCAGTGCCACAAAGAAATTTTAAAAATAAGTAAGTAACAGATGGGTCAAGACAGGCATGGAGACACACACCTGTAATTCCAGCATTCATGAGGCTGAGGCAGGAAGATCGCCACCAGCTCAAAGCCAACCTGTGGGACATAGTGAAATCGAGGCCAACCTGGACCTCAAAACAAAAGAGATTAAGAGAGACAGACAGACAGACAGACAGACAAAGAGACAGAGAGACCGAGACACCAGAGCCCTGATCCAGGCCCCCAGTAAAGACCTCTGGGGCTGCCATAGATGTTCCCCCACAAACAGCACAGCTGATCAGAGGAGACGTGGCCAGCTCATCGTCAGGTGGTCACGGCACCTGCAGGGCCATGAGAGATGACAGCAAAGTGGTCAGCCTCACGCAGACCTATGCTGCTGCCGCCTGAGTGACCACCTGGCTAGGCCTTGTCCACCCCATCCAGCTTTCCAATGCCTGCAGCCCTAGGCCTGAGCTGGAAGCACCCCGCTGGGTTTCAGGGTGATCTGAGGTCAGCAACAGATAACTAACACAGTACCAACCCCACAATGAGCTAGGATGGGACAGCTGTCCCCACCTCTGTCACCATCCAAATGCAAGAGGCGACAGATGGGAGCCGTGGCTGAGGGCACACACAGTCCCCACCTGTAGTTGCCAAGTGGTCACTGCGACTGTGTCCCTCAGCTGTGCGATAAGCACCAGTCCACCTGCCTTGGTGGTGGACAGGACAGCAGGCATCAAGGGAATGGGAATCAAAAGTGCCCGGAGCTGGAAGGGGCTGCCTGCCCAGTCTGGAGTGGCCAGGCTTTGGTGCCCTTTCTCTTCACCACCTCTGCCAGTACCATTGGCGTAGGGTCAGGGGTTGGGCCTTGAAAGCACCGTTCCCTGCCACACCAGCCAGCACACCTTCCACTTGGGCAGACTGTCCAGCTGCCCCAGCAGGGAGGTCTCTTCCAGCCTGCAGTATTTAGAAGCCTGCTCAGCACCGTCCTCATAGCTTTATCGATGATTCTGTGCTCTAACTAGAGACCTGCAGCCCCTCCCAGGGGACAAGAGACCAGCTGAGCCTGCCTGGCTTCAAAAGTCCCTGGCAGTCTTCTTGGAAACAGGGGCAGAGAAAAAGGGGCCCCTGACTCTGGCAGCAGAAAGGGAATCTGCAGTTCCTGCACCCGAGCCTCCAGGACTGCGGGGAAAGACCTGCCCACCCACCTGGCCTGCGAGACAGACCCAGGAGTGGACCCTCCCTCTTGGGGTCTCCCAGCACCCTCCAGGCCCAAAGCCCAAATGGCAGAGGAGAACATATGCAAAGCAAAGGTGGCCTCTGAGTGAGGCCTCAACTCGAAGCCCAAAAGCTCCGGCCCAGCAGGTGGAGGGGGAGAAGCAGACTGGACTGCACCCTGGAGAGCACAAGAGGAAAAAAGGCAAACCTGAGCTCAGCCCCGTCCAACCACAGGGAGCACCTGGGCCCAGTGCTGGGCACAGCTGGCATCCAAGGCCCCAGGCCATAGAATTGGAAAGTGCTGTCCATGCACAAGACACCTGCAGGCCCCAGACCAGCATCACAGGACTGAGGACACAGGGAGCCACCAAGGCTGGGCAACTCAGCAGCCTGCCTCAGGGCTAGTCACACCCTCCTCTCCCAGAGGAGGAAACTAAGGCTCAGGCAACTCAGTGGTTTCTTCCTTCGGAGTGTGGAGCAGTCCAGACCCCTTCTCCTCCCCAGCAACGGTCGCTCTGGTTCCAGAAATGGCTTTGTAAAGCGGCAGGACGACACAAGTGCCAGAGATCAGTATTACCCTGTGGCTAGCAGAGGAGAGAGACCGGATGGAGGGTGAGAGAGAAAAAGGAAGTCCTCAATACTGGCTCCCGCTCCTCCTGGGCGTCCACGACTTTCTCCTCCAGCCCCACACGGCAAAGTGAGAAGTCACCTGTCTCCAGGTGACAGCGAGGGAGGAGCAGAGCGACTTTAAGGCGAAGGGCCTGTGCGCGGACAGCCAAGGGGCAGCCCGGGACTTCTAGCCAGCAAGGAGCCCACCAAGGAAGCGCAGAGCGAGGCCGTGCTTCCAGGTGATCTAAGCACGTCGGGCAGGGAGGCAGGAGAGGGGCGGAGGGAGGCCTCGCGCAGTTTCTGCGAGGCCGGCAAGAGTGGTGATGCCCCCAGCAGAAACGCAGGCGTCCCTGCAGCCGGTGGAGGTGACAGGAGGCCAGGAGGCGAAGGGAGATGGGAAATCGCCGAGGGCATGAGGGAGGGACACCGATGCCAGGTGGCCACGCCGCAGGAGAGAATCCCCACCAGAGGCCCTGCTCAACAAGCGGAACAGGAGGCTTCCGAAAGCCGGGGGCGGTAGGAGGCTCGATCGGGTCCGAGATTCAGCGGGAGGAGATGGCGCTCCCTCCGAAGCCCCGAGGTGGCGCCTACCTGTTCACCCTCCCAGGTACCCGGAAACCGGATGGAGGGCACCGAGGAGGCGGCAGCGGCGACGGGGAGAGGGGCTGCGCCTCGGGGGCCTGGGACCCGCACTCACCCAGCGCCAGGCCGTAGGAGGCACCCACGGCCGCGCGGAAGCGGTCCATCTGCGTGTCGCGCTTGCTGTCCGGCTCCCACATCACCTGGCACTCCAGGATCTCTTCGCGTCCGGACGGCGTCCGCTCCGACATGGCTGTGGCGAGCGCTGGGGACCGAGATCGAGCCGAGATCGGGACAGGGGACCGGCGACGGGGGCGACGCACAGGCGGAAAGGACGCGGCGCGGACGGCCGAGAGCGCGAGACTGGGAGGGCGCCCCCACCTCCCGCTGACATACTTCTGGCCACGCCCCCTATCCGAAGCCACGCCCGAGACCACGCCTGCTAGTAGCCACGCCCCTATGTAACCCTCCGCCGGCGGTGTCGGAGAAAGGAGTGCCCTCCGCATGCGCCTGCGTGCGCCTGCGCACTGGGTTGAGCGCCTCCAGCTCCCTTGCGCTAGTGCGTGCTTTCCCTCTGGATTCCCAGTACCCGCGGCGGGGCGGACGCCGGCGACCTGTGAGTCAGGTTTGGGGAGGAGTGGCGCCCAGTGACACGCACGTCGCGTATGTACCCATGCAACAGGGACGTGGCGGTGCGTGTAAGGCAGGGGTGATCACTGCAAAGCGAAAACCTGGCCGCAGCTCAGGGTGACCCCTGACTGCACTTGCTCGGCGCCGTGAGGCGCAAATCGGATTCCCAGCCCGGAAATTAGTGTCACTCATTAGCTCCAGGAAAAGCGTCCTGCGGGCGTGCAAATGCTCGAGCCTCGGGCAGGAGGCTCGAGAGGTCCCGCCCAGCCCAGCCACTCAGCCAGACCCCACAGTCCTGCCTCAAACTAAAAAAAAAGTATAAAGTCGGGAGGCGGGTGTAGTTGGCACGCGCCTGTGAAAAAGGATGCATCGTGTCCCTGTGTCCGCGCCTCGGACAAATGTAATCATTGTGTACTGCCAACATGGACTGATTAAAAAAGAATGAGCAGAAGCAGGAAGAGGAGGCGGCCATGCGCCCACCCGTGTCATCCAGGAGGCCCTGCCGGTGTTGACCTGGACAGTGAGATGACCACACATGCTGCAAAGGAAGTCAGGTGGCCCGGAGGACACACATGGGCTAGGTACGACCATGCCTGAGGTTGCTGTTACTTCTGAGTTTCCAAGCAAAGCCCCGGATCCAGATTCCAACGTGAAATCTAAGAAGACGTTAACAGTTTAAACAGCATGAGCCAGAGCTCACACAGGCAGCGTCTAGCTGACACTGGGAGAAGCCGTTTGGCTTTGAGAACTGCGCTATGCTCTTTTTCCCACTCAGCACCAAGCTGGGCGCTGGAAGCTTCCCCTCTGCCCTGCGTGCTGGGACTGGGCCACAGGAGCCAGGACAGGGACCTGTATAGGGATCTGGCCGTCCCTAGTTCCTAGTGGTGGCTTCATGACTTCAGATCATGTGGCCTGGGCCTTGACACCATGTGGCTGGTGATGTCCAAGGGAAAGTTGGAATGACCTCAGCTGCAGGTATAGACCCTGCCAGCAAATTTTACCTCACCACTTCCAGTGGCTTAAGGCCCAGACGGTATACTGGGGTCTCATTGGTCAGGACCCAGTCACATGCCCACCTCTGGGCTAATTATTGGCCCAGGACAAAAAAGGAGCATCTTGATTGGTTTAGAGGGCTGGGTCCCTACCCAGGCAGGCGAGTTCTTTAGAATGCACACAAATGTCCCAAGAAAGAAGAGAAACCCTGCATTGTACTACACTTGGTCCAGAGCCCATCCTGCTGTTTAAACTGGTCAGGGTGGTGTCACTAATGTCAGCTGTCCTTCCGTGACTTAAAGAGCTGACCGTTGCAACCACAGTGAGCTGTATCCCTGGCCCCCAAAGCCTTCTGTGTGCCCCACTAGCTGGTCTTGCTTGTAGAGGTGTGACCAGAAACATGGTGAACGCTTCAGTTTAAAAAAAATGCCTGGTAGTGCTTTCCTGTAATCCCAGCCCTCCAGCACTTGGGTGGCTGAGGCAGGAGGATCCTTGCAAGTTTGAGACCAGCCCAGGCCACAAAGTGAGTCCAAGGCCAATCTGAGCTGCATAGCAAGACCTTGTCTCAAAAAGACAAAAATTGAAAGGTTCTTGCCCTAGAATACATTACTGTACAGTTATGGGATGGATGGTCTAATGTGGCGGAAAGCCAAAGCAGAAACGCCTACCATGTCCTGCTTCTTCAGCCCTAAATGCAGCTCCCCTTCCTATTTGCATGCACAGAGAATTCCAATCAGCTCCTCCAGCATCATCAATGCCTGCCCTAAGCACCACCCCAGGTCAAGGGTTACATATGTCCCATACCCCATGTTCCAGTTGAAGGAGACAGCCCAGCCCCCATGAGTTGTGTGCTCCTTCCCAGGTCCTCAACTCAATAAATCTGTTCATTTTGTACTTTTACTTCTCTATTGTGCCAGAATAATTAACAAAAATAAATTATAGCCAGGCATAGTGGCACATGCCTGTGATCTCAGCACTCAGGAGGCTGAGGCAGGAGGATACCTGGAATTCACTATGCAGCCTGGCTACATACTGCTTAAGGCCAACTTGAACTACAGAGTGAGGCCCTGTCTCAAAAAAAAAATTTACAGTAAAGGACACATTCCCATTCCCCTCACAGTGCTCCCCGCTGGCTTCAAACACACTCCTCCAGTCAGTCCAGATACTTTCTGCGGCACTCTGGAGTCCTCTTTCCTGAGTGTCTTTAATTTGTGCCTGCCTAAGCTGGGTGTAATCTCAGCACTCAGGAGGCTGAGGCAGGAGGATGGTTGCGAGTTCAAAACCGCCTGGGCTACAAAGTGAGCTCAAGGCCAGCCTGAACTGCATAGTGAGGCCCTTTCTCAAAAAGCCTGTCTTGCAAGCAGGCATTCGTGAGTTCGATCCCCGGTATTGATAAAAAAGAAAAAGACAAAAAAAAAAAAAAAAAGCCAGAAAAAAAAAAAAAAAATTTGCGCCTGCCTGGCTGCCTCTATGTCCTGAATGGATTCAAAACATTTCCCGTTCATGGTCAGTCCAACCTCAGGAGAAGCTGCAGGTACCAGGGGGGTGGGTGAGGGGTGAGGGCACCCTGTAATGTTTCTACAAGCCAGGGTTTCCCCAATAGCCCTCAGCCACCCCATTCACTATATTTTTTATCACTGGGCAATCAAACATTTGTACTGGGAATAAACCCAAGGCCTTTACCCTGAGCTGCATCCCTGCCCCTTTTAGTATAAGTGCTGCCGAAGCCAGCACATCCTGGCCACTTTTAAGTTTTTATTTTAGTTTATTTGAAACAGGGTTTCAGTAAGTTTATAAAGTGCCAAGACTGGGTCAAACTTCCAATCCTGCCTCAGCCTCCACCAGAGCGCTGGGACCCCCGGCATGTGCTACCACGCCCATTTTAAAACAATTTTTTTGTTGTCTTTTTGGAACAGGATCTCCCTATGCAGTTCAGACTGGCCTTGAGCTCACTTTGTAGCCCAGGCTGGTCTCCAGCTTGCAATGATCCTGCTGCCTCAGCCTCTGGAGTGCTGGGATTGCAGGTGTGAGCTACCATGCCCATTTAAAAACTGAATTCCTAAAAACAGCAGGTACAAAAGAAATGTGAGGCTGTGAGTAATGTGCAGACTGCAGACGGGGTTCAGCTAGGGAAACGGTTTACCGCTCGGACTAAGCACTCTTTCAGGGCTCCTGGGCATGCGTGCATGCAGCTGGGCGGGCACCCAGGGCCTCCTGACCCCTGGACTAGTGCTGTGCATCCCCGGGCTCCTTCCTCCCCCTCCATCCCTTCCTCTATTCCTCCCCTCCCCTCTCCCCCTCCCCTCTTCACTCTTGTGAAGGAGGGTATGGGCCAGGGAAGGCGGGCCGAGAAAGTGGCCCAGTGGGCCACGTGTGTTGAACGCGTCGTCCAGAAGGGTGCGGAGCCCTCAGCAAACTTGACGGCTACCAACCTTTCCCTGCAGAGGCCAGGTGGGCTGGGCAGACGATGCAGAGTGACTTGGGTGGCCTGGGCAACATGAACCCCACATCCCCTACCCATGAGGCCTCCACGCTGGATCCACTGGATTCCACGCCCCCTGAGGTTGCCGTGACCATCCTGACCCCTCCTCCCGGTCCAGCCGAGATTCTGCCCTGTAAGTGTGCGCTGGGTGAACATCCTAGTGGGTTTTCCAAAGAGGCCTCCCTCAGCGTGGACAGGGACTCCCAGGGGACTCAGAGCTGGGGGTCAGGCAAGCAGTCACCCCGGCAACTGTGCTTGTGTGTCCGGAGGCGCCCCGGTTTAAAGGTCAAGCTTTGTTTATTCTGAAGCCTGGAAACACAGCTGGGACCTGGGCATGGTAGTACACACCTGTCATCCTAGCACTCGGGAGGCTGAGGCAGGAGCATGGCCACGAGTTCGAGGCCAGCCTGAGCTACATAGGGAGACCCTGTCTACAAAAAACTAAGGAACAAAGTGTGCTCCTCAGGGCCCATTTTGTCTCTCTGAAGGACGCTGCCCCTGTCCTGGCCACTGTGGTCATCTGTCTGTACTAACTTCACCTCCAGAAGACTTGCTGTTGTTCAGATGTGTCCCCAAAACTCCACGACAGTTCAAGGAAGCTCCCCATGATGACAGTGGGGGAAGAGGACGGAGGAGCCGGCTCCCTAACCCACCTGCTCTCCCGGGACTCGCCACTTCCTGGAAGAAATAAACCTCAGGGTTGGACAGGAAGGAGGGAGGGAAGGGGATGAATGTGACCCAGATGCATTGAAACCGGGGTCACTGGGGAAGTGATTAATTACGTCATGCATACATAAAAACCTGCCATGGGCCACCTTAAGGTCACAATATCCCAGTTCCCTACTGATACAACATCTTGCAATAAAAAAGAAATCTGTTGTTTGTAAGTTACCCAGGCTCAGGCATCCGAGATTTTTATTTTTTACTATGCAGTACAGGCTGGCCTTGAACTCACGTGGATCCTCCTACCTCAGCCTCTCCAGTGCTGGGACTACAGGCCTGCCCCACCACACAGGCACAGGTATTCAACTCTAGCAGTAAATAGACTAAGACAAGATTGTCACCAAGCAGCCAGAGGGACTCCCGCCAGAGCCGGGACCTCCAATGCCGACACTTTCCAGTGCCTCCTCTCAGCCAGGCCAGACGGAGCCCATCTCTGAGGGCCCCTAGGAGCCAGGGTGGGCGCCCCCTTTCCTTTCAGCCCTTTACAGATACATCAGGTCGGTAGAGGCTGAGGCCAGAGCCTGCAGACCAGGAAACAGTGCGGCCACGGAAGGGCCCGAGACTGACCAGAAACTTAAACCAAGGTGTCCAAGACCTACTTAGGCCAGTGTCCTTCAAGTCACTGTGGAAGGCACATCTCCAGCTCCCGCCCTGCTGAAGCCCACTGTCCACGTGGACCCCACAATCTGACAT